GTATCCTGTATCCTGTATCATGTACCCTGTATCATGTATCCAGTATCCAGTATCATGCACCTAGTATCATGTACCCAGTATTTAGTTTGTATATATGTATGAAGCCAATTTTTTACAGATTGATTCTTGCTGAAGAAGTTTAAACCCTCTTACATGAACTGAACACAAAAGACAATGAATGAAAAATTGAATTTTAATGTTTTTTTTCAAAAATGGGATTTTTTCAAAAATTGTACTGACTGTACAGATTTTTAAAAAAAATGTACGGATTTTTTAAAAAAAATGTACGGATTGGTTTAAAAAAATGTACGGATTGTACGGATTTAAAAAAAAAATTGTACGGATTGTACGGATTTTTTTCCGAAAATTGTACGGATTGTACGGATTTCTTCTGAAAATGTACGGATTTTTGTACGGATTTGTTCAAAAAAGTTTTGGCCACCCTGAAGTTTACTTAAAGCGTAAATTGAAGAAAATAAATGAGTTTGTGGTTTAAACTGGCGAGTTGGTATTTTATATAGCCCTATAATCTTCTAATAACAGGTAGTTGTTGGGATGTATTTTCGATCATGTAAAGTGAACGTCTTTGATCAGAAATATTAATAATATTTCTTTCAGAAAGCTCCTGATCGTCCTGGAGTACTTGTACTTCTCTCTAGTCCCGGAGAAGGACGGATTGTATCCTGTCTGATGGAAAACCTACTCCGAACTTCAGCTCCCTACTTTAGAGATTCTAACACCATTATTGAAGAGATGATGATCAACGGTAGTCTTATAACTAATAGTGAGCAGGTGATCACATTTTCAAAGTTTAATGTTGACTATGTACAAATTTATATTTTTCTGAACGCAACGGTTTAAGATGTTTTTTACTTTGCTTTTCGTATTGGACAAAGGAAGATTAACAAAACAATTAAAGAAGATGAAAGAAAGGTTTACTTGAAAAAAAGCTATTTTTGTGATACTCAAGATATCCTTGTTTAGTTTCACAATCTGCTGCAAGAGAAGATGTCTAAACATGGTGTAGTTGGTGTCCAGGGTTTAGAGAAAATCAGCGGAAAAGCAGCAATTGCTCTTCATGCATTCGCAGACGATAGGTGAGGGCAATCATTTGATTTCAGTGTTCATGTGTAGATAGATAGATAATAATTTGATTTCCTCTGCGCTGTCTGAATAATTTTAGTCGTGGAGATTTTTTTTAAAGATCAAACTGTCGGCAGACGACATTTTTTTCTAACTAAACTGGATCTTGGATAAGAATCCATCTTTTTAACAGTTTTAACTGTGGATCCATTGGCCGAATTTAAAGAATTTAAGCGGCGGTTTAAATTTAAGCCGCGGTTTAAATATGGTTGGTTCAACTTAAAATTGTATCAAATGTTTCAAGATTTAAACCGGGTTTTGGCGGATTTAAACCGCGGCTCAAATTCTTTAAATTCCATCTCATATTTCATTTCCGGATCCGCATAAAAAAGACATGAAATAACTCACTTAAAAAGACTTACTTATCTTTAGAAATATTTGTTGTATATTATTATATCTTTCTGAATTTTTTTTCAGCAATGCCCCGTATAAGCACGGGTTCCTGTTACTAAGTCTTGAAGGAACTGGGTTCCAGGAACCATGTTTACCCTCCAGAAAAGCCGAGGAACTGCTCTCAGAATACTGGAATGATCTAGAAGAGGTATTTATCCTTCAATGGACTTTAAGCATAATTTCAAGTGACCCTAAATGCAAAGATGGCAATGCCCAATGTGCATCTGTACTCTTGAAACCTTGTATTAGATCTAAAATGTTGAAGATACCGTCGATTTTTCCGATTTGAACCCTTGAAACCTTGTATTAGATCAAAAATGTTAAGATAACGTCGATTTTTTTCGATTCGAAATGTATTTAATTTTGATAATTAAATCAAGAAATGTGCAAGTCACTTTTGTAGGGAAACACAACAGTTAAAAAACATAAATGTCAAATTCAAACTTGATCAAACAACGCCTTCAAGGGTATTGTTATAAATCGGACATGGAGGGTCACATTAACAGTTCCTTTTATTGTAAAAACTTAACTTTCCCTTTATTTTGTATATATTTCAGGATAAGATCCCTCCGCTGATAACCAGGGTTACAGCAGATGTGATAGAGGTGAACCCTGAAACCCCGGAAACTATTCAGAACATCTGTTCTCATCTCCAGGATTAACCAGGATCTTCCAGGATTTTAAGTATCGCTGGACCCTGAGATTTAAGTGTACATACATTTCCCGGATTTAAAGTATTATTGAATCAACTAATTAAATTCAAGCTTTCGTAAATTTCCCAGATCTTGAGTTTACGGTAGATTCCCAGATTTCAAGAATTCGAGCAAAAAAAGTTTCCAGAATTTCTTAATTTTTATTAAAGCATTAGTTCCCATCGTTACGTTTTTTATTGCTTGATAATTTCTTTATTTAGCTGATTGTTCTGATTTTAAAGCAATTTANCCCCCCCTTCTAATAGAATCAATAAATCTTCGTTAATCAAAAAAATATATATATTCATACTTTTAAAATTGTGTCTACTTTACTCATGCGCAGAACACGTTCTCAAGTTTAGCGCTTAGTCATCAGTTGTGATAATGTTCTCAACAGAAGAACATGTGATAAACTAATTGTAAATTTAAAGTATATTTTTTTCAGATAAAATGGCGGAATCTAAACCCAAAAGAGAAATCCCAGGACCACTAAAATCTTTACTAGATTTAGGAAAGCATAGACAATAGACATGTTTAATAGGTTTTAACGTGATTTTTTTGTTTTATTAATTTTTGTTTAAATTTCCATTGACTCTAAATTCTCTGGGAGTAGATGACAATTCTTTTGTGAAGATCTTGTTTTAACTTGGACCTGCATAAAAACAATGTAGATAAGTGGGATTAAATTTTAAAAAAGGTTTCATAACGAAATACCAGTTTAAATATTTTATTCGTAATAAGTTTATCGTTAAATCCTTAAGTTCAAATAGTAAATTTCTTGTGATTTATGTTAAATCCCTGAGTACTAAGATGACCCATAATGTAATGGTTGGCTACTAGCGCGCCGTTCTGAATGCTCCAATATTAAATTTGACCTCAGAAATGAACTCCTCGTGCCCAATAAATAACTTATAAATCGACATACAACATGTAAATATGTACTAGGATGACCCATAATGTAATGGTTGGCTACTAGCGCACCGGTCAGAATGCTCCAATATTAAATTTGACCTCAGAAATGAATTACTCGTGCCAAATTACATATAAATCGACATACATCATGTAATAAATGTACTAAGATGACCCATGATGTAATGGTTGGCTACTAGCGCGCCGGTCAGAATGCTCCTATGTCTATTTTGACCTCGGAAATGAATTTCTTGTCCTAATTTTGCTATAGTTTGATGTATCTCATGCAACTCTTATTCTAACTTAGGCCAAACTTAGCACATAAGTATTCAAAGATATTTTCTTTTATTGCGCGCGCGCGCGGACATTTAAGCCTTTGGAGGTGAATTTTTTTAGCGCATATTTGTTTCAAGATTGTCGGAAAAAATGTTCAAGTGCAGTTAATGAAGTTAACATTGATTTACTGTAAAAAAAGTGGCATTTTTTCACCAAAAGCGCGCGCACTCAGATTTCTTGAAAACCAAAAAATGCATGTAATATACATAATTCTGAGTTTGCATGCAAAAAATCAGCCTCCTATGACAATTCTAAGTTATGTTTAAACACTGTTTTAATTTTCCGGAGAGTAATACGTTTCATGCCCCCCCCCTTTCTCGAGTTTTTTGTTAAATCCTCGAGTTTAAATACTAAATTTCATGAGTTTCTTGTCACATCCTGAGTTTGAATAGTCCGTTCTTATGAAGTTTATTGTTAAATATTTTAGTTAAATAGTAAATTTCTTGAGTTATTTGTTAAATTATTGAGTTTAAATAGTAAATTTCTTTGAAGTTGAATGTCCTATGCTTGTTAATAGATGCGCGTATCTCTAAGGAAATCGTTGAAGCGGTGAACAAGAAATATCCAATTGTAGATTTCAGGCATCATCTTAAACATTTAGAGGTAATAGGGGTCTGTCCTGGTAAACAATTTTTGGAACCCCCCCCCCCAGGCTCCCCCTCTCTCCTCCTATCAATTTTGTACATGACCACTGTTTCAACAATTTTCAACAAAATAGGTTTATATTTAGGGTTAGGTTAGGTTAATACACTTTCTGGGCCGAGTGTTGCGGCTAGGACAGGCTAGGGGGCCGAGCGCTGCGGCTAGGACAGGCTAGGGGGCCGAGCGGCGCGGCTAGGACAGGCTAGGGGACCGGGCGCTGCGGCCACATTGCCAATAATATCCATGTCGTACAAACAAGATCCATGTAAAAAATTGATAGGAGGGGGTGGGGCGGGGATTCAAAAATCGTATATTAGGAAATTACCGATAATAGTTCAGGAAACAGGGTTGGGTCAAGTTTTCATACTTTTTAAAGGGACTGTCAGTGTGATTTCAGTGACTCTCCATTTATAGATTGCCATGTCCTATTCACAACGGTACTCGTTTAACTTTTTTCTGATCAAAGATGAATGAGAGAATTGTTTTTGCAGAAAATTGATTAGTTTTAATCGTAGTGTTTGTGTGAAAGTTACATGCGGATTTATGTTGCAGACTCATCACACAATTAAGGAAAGTGTGAGAATTTAACACTTTTCAGGAAAGGAACGATATTTTCCTCAACGTTACTCGGATTGAGGTTTAATGGGTACCATTGTGAATCGGAATGACACTATGACCCATTGAAGTTACGTGTTCCTTTAAAGTGACATATTAGGACAGCTCAGAAACAAGTTATTAAAACAAAGTTAGGAATTTCGAGGCAATGTCGTAGGAATTACTGTTAAAAAAAAACCCAGTTTAACTGCTGACCTAAACTTCACAGTAGAATGTAAATAAACTATTTCCCTCTCCTTTGTTCTGTTACGCTTTCAACTTTCCCTCCGAACCAATGTGCCTAGAGTATTATCTTTAAAACTTCTTTTCAATATCGTGCTACTTAGAAGAATAAATGTTTAATCTTGTTTAGATTTCCTGCCACGGTGTTCCCTGGTTCATGATAACTATTGCTGGAATGTATATGGTGGATAATCCTGAACTCTGGGTCAATCTTCTCATAGGTCTTCTCCTCGATATTGTTATTGTTGCTGTACTTAAGGCCTTTACTAGACGAAGACGACCTGCGTACAATATTGACGATCTATTCTTGGTTTCTTCTATTGACAAGTTCAGTTTCCCCTCGGGACATGCTACTAGGGCTGTTCTACTTGGAGTTTTCTTTAATATACTCTACCCTCTACACTTCATTTTCTTCATACCTATCAGTAAGACATTTTAACCTAGTACAGTGAGAACCAAAAAATTATGAAATAAATGTTGTTTTTGTTTTTCCTTTAATATCTGTTCCGGGAGACATAGAACCTCTGAAAAGGGACCTCCGTCAGCTCCAATTTATCTTCAGCTTCGTTAGACATAAATAGCCTATTTTTTAATATACACTCTCAATGACCCTTTGAATAAACGAAAAAATAAAAAATAAATAATAATGAAATCAGAGATTCCAAGTCTACGTGAAGAGATTTGTTAATCTGACTTATTATCCTGCTCCTAGACAAACCTATGTGTTTACTGTTTACCTTCAAAACTAGAAATGACAATTAATAAAATTGACGTAGATATCACAAAATGTCTTGCATGCTACGGGTTCTTTTTTACCATTTAAATGTTGCGTAAACAAGTTTTATTTACATACAAAGACGGACTAAAGAACTGCATGACTATTACAATAATTTCATTAAAATCTAAAAATCCCGGAAATTTAATTATAATTATCCAGCTGCCTTGATTCAGACTTAATTCTGCGAAAACTTAATTATCCAACTTCCTGTCGAAATAAAAAGTTTCAGTTTGTAGTTTAAGTCTCATCATTGCATTGGTTCATTCCAGTTTGATGTGAATCCGGATCCTAGAGTTTCCATGTAAAACAATGGATCCGGATTTAAGCTCATTAAAATGAGTAATATTACTAAAATATATTACTCTTTTTTAATGATGACCGTCAATTATTAGTTTGCAAATTTTAATGGATATTTTGCTCCGGATCCGTGAATTTGCATATGTTTTGAAAGCAAAATATTGTGGATCTGTATCAGGGACCTAAGCACTAAATTTTTTTTTCAGTGGTTTGGAGCAGTGCAGTTTGTGCTAGTCGTGTAATATTGGGACGCCATCATGTTCTTGGTAAGTTTAAATCAACGAAGCTTGAACCAATTAGTAATAATTCATCGTCAATGTTAAAATGATAATTCTAATCCAATTCCTAAACGATATAACGCTAATAGAGTAAACCTATGAGTTAGGAAACCTATGTTTGCGGTTTTCAGCTGCAAAACCACTTGGGACTCATGTTCTAATGACCGCCCTTGCGAGCATAAACCATTGCACTATGCTAACGGGCCGGACCACCAACTTTGAAAGCGTCCGGGTCGATGGGTAGGGTTCTGCACTGGCAGATTTTCGGGGCTATCAGCAGAGATAGATAGATAGGAGACCTAGGTTTGCTGAGGAAAGAATTTTCGTTTTTTTTCGCAAAAATCTCAAATGAACAACTCTGCAGATATTTTAGAAATTCTAAGTTCATTTAGGAAATTTAAACGTAATTTCAAGTCACCCTTCGTTTAAAGATTGGGTCTGGTATGCCTGGTTCATAATTAATCCTTTGTCTGGTCATCTACAACGTAGAACTTCTAATATTGCGCTACTGTGTGGAATGTACACTAATACACACTTAACAGCTAGCGCGAACTACTACAATTATTTTCCAAATTAGGATTCACAAAAATTCGATTGTTTTGTCGAACGCAGGACACATTTATTTAGATATTCTGTTCAAAATAAATTGCATCAGCAATTACAAGCATTTTCGCGGATTAAATACAATTGCACTCAATTTTCATATAGAAACATGGATAGGTCCGTCATCCTTGATCTGACAATGGTATAAAGGGTACCGTGTGTACATCTGATACGTCCAGAGAGAATAGAATATATATTAGAATGGAATTTACGAGAAAAAATTGTAAAACGACCATTTTGTTGTACTGTTTCCATACTGCAGGACGCAGGTGTACTTCACATATTTGGGCCCTGGAACATCATTGTATAGAAAATCTAAAATTAATATTAAAAGAAAACCAAATTATGAAATAGGCTGGTTTCATAATTTACCAATGATCATTTCACATAGACTCTATGCCTTTCACTTTACAAACGATGATTTTCCGTTATAACTATAAATCAAATGATGTTTTTTATTCACCTAATTCATTTTATAAAGTTTATTTAACAGCTTTAAAAAATTCGAAATTGAAATGGATAGTCTAGGGAACATACTGTATTAATGTACTCTACTGCATATAATTTGTGAACATTTACAAGTTTTGTACACTTTGAACTCCCTTTCAGGCTGAAAGGGACTAACAAAATTCATACCAAGAGATTCTTTAAATTCCCCTCTAATATATATTCTATTCTCTTTGGTTACGTCCCTCTATAAATGGAGTTTCACTGGATTAACGTCTACAGTCCTTTAATTTTTTTCATCTAGATGTTGTTTGTGGTGTTCTGATCGGAATATTGGAAGGATTGATTCTCAGCAAGGTTTGGTTATCTCGAGAAGGAGCAGGTTCAATCATCTCAGCCTTTGGAGGAGAGGATCCTTGGTCTAGTAGTTAACTGTCCTAGCAGTGGAGATATCCAAGCTCCTAAGTTTGCTACAGTTGAAATATTCTAGCTCCTATATCTGCTACAGTGGAGATATCCAAGCTCCCATATCTGCTACATTTGTGATATCCTAGCTACTATATCTGCTACGTTGGAGATATCCAAGCTCCTATATCTGAAACAGTGGAGATATCCTAGCTCCTATATATGCTACAGTGGAGTTATCCTAGCTCATATATCTTCTGCAGTGGAGATATCCTAGCTCATATATCTTTTACAGTGGAGATATCCTAGCTCCTATATCTGCCACAGTGGAGATATCCTAGCTACTATATCTTCTTCAGTGAAAATATCTCAGCTCAGATATCTGCTACAGTGGAGATATCCTATAGCTCTGTAATCTTTTGAAGTAAAGATATCCTAGCTCCTATATCTGTTGCAAAAATGTTCTTACTCTGATTTGTCCGTGTGTTGTATCCTAAAGATCCGATTTCCTCTTCATTGAGTTTATTTTTGCTTCTATGTGTCAAAAAGCAAAACTCATCTTAGTTCAGATTATGTTTCTTAGTTTTAACTTGTAACCTTATAAATTTTCTGTTTAACTCAATTCTAAATACACTTTTTAGTCGTAAAGTATAAATAAACTACTCAGTTTCGTCGTTAAATATTATTTTCTTATCCGCATAAAAAGATTAAATGTCATCGGAGGTTTGGGGATTTTAAAATTCGGTTCAGCCGTTACAAGATGCGATTTGCTGCTTATTAACTTGGAATTTAAAGCTGTTTCATTCAGAACTATTCGGCCCATTAGTTATTCTTTTCGATTGTTTATTGGTAAAAAAATATGTGATCCTAGTTCCTTGTGATACTGGCGTAAAGTTATAAATTAATAATTCAAGTAATAAAATTAACATATTTGGACCAAAATATTATGTAAAATATTTAATTTGTAAAAAAAATCGTATTTAATGGTTTACTAGCTGAAGTGCCCGGCGTGGCCCGTGGAATTAAAATTTCAGCCCATTCGGTACAGCCTTTTGGCCGGCTATAGTGAATGTGTTATGTAATATTTAGGTATTGTTGTAAACTATTAGAATTTTTTTGAAGTCTTGAAAATTCACTGCAGAACCCCCGGACGCCATGAGCCTCCGCTATGCAGACACGAGCCTCCCAGATTGCTAGGCAGACTGAGCCTCCGCCTTGCAGTAAGAGCCTCCACTATACAGTAATCGAGCCTCCGGTCTAATTTGATGTGGGACACCCTGTATCTATTGAATATGTAATTTCTTGTTAAATATAATGTTAAAAAGCTAGTTTTTCTACAGACCAAAGATGGCCGACTGTGGAGGATTATCTCTAAGGTTGATTATTGACGAGGTGGACAAAGTGGAGACGGAGTTGAAGGAGCTGAGCAGAACTCAAGAGGAGGAGGAGGCAGCTGTTCAACTTCTCAAACAGATGTTGGAGAAAGAGGATAGGGAGATCCAACAGGTATGGGAAGTCTATAGTGTGTAATGGGTACAATGTTTAAATTCCAAAACTGCTCCCACGCAAGTTACAGCAAACACAACGTATGGTGTATCTAATGAGCGGGGGAAGGCAGGCGGCCATGAGACAAATGTGGCAGAAGAGTCAAATGTGGTGGCACGGAAGGGGAAATAGTGGTGGCTCATGGCTGCCTGCCTTCCCCCGCTCATCTAATTTATCACATCCCACGACATAAACCAAGAAATATATAGACCAGGAACCGCCATATCTGATGCGTCAAATCTGTGTACTGCAGTGGGAGGAAATCAAACAAAGAATTCATGGGCAAAACAGCAATTATGCGGGAGGGGGGATAATAAGATATATTGCAATCGTAGTCATGAATAATGATTATAAAACGCAAGAATATTTGTTACTTGCGAGTATGTGCTTTAAAGGCAGGAAAGGTAAATGATAATCACTAAGATTATATTCAAATTGTGAAACTTTATATGGTAAAATTGGAATTTTTTAATAAAAGCAAAACAAGTTCTCTTTCCATGGGAATCAATGCAAAAGGAACAGTAGACATAATTCAATGTCTAACAGGACTTTTTCGGGAAATGCACATTAAATATTAGTCATTCATAATTCAAACCTTCTAACATAAAATTCGAGAAAAAAATGAAAAGAATGAAATCCATATTTTAATAAATTTATTTATTGATAATTTATACATTCTATTTTATTAAAAGTAAATCGTCAAGCTTTTAAATTTTATCACATCATAATTCTAAAGCATAAACTTATATTAATTTTTTCAGCTTACTGAAAAATCTTACATTTACAAAAAGTTTTACATTCTCCCGAGGCCATCTTTTGTTTATTGCAGTAATATTTGAAACTGTTTTTTCGATAGGATCATGTCCTCTATCCAGAGACTCTCCATGTATTTTTTGAAATATTTTCTCATGTTTTTCAACTTCCTCCAATAGATCTTTGGATTGATAAAACAAGGATTCTCTTGATTTTAAGTCTATCCAATCACAGGTTGTTTTCTCCTCGCCAACTCTGACAAGGCCGGGAACTTTTGTATGGAGTTTTTTTTTGCAATAAACCCACATACATATATTAGTGCCTGTTTTGAGGACTTTTTCCTGCTGAATTATCCGCACTCATAGGTTCCTGAAAACAGTTAAAGTTAGCCGTTTTCAATGAATAAGATTCAGAATAATCTGCATTTTATGTTTGATAATTATCTTTAGGATTAGAAGAACGATTATGAAAATATGCATTTTTAGAAAAAATCTATAACCACAGACATAAAAATTTTAATTTTTGGAAATTGAAAATACCCTATATTCGTCTGGTTCTTATTCTTCTGTCATTTCAATCTGGTTCTTGAATAAAGAAACTATTGAATTGATTTAAACCTTGGGAGGAAGGATGTAAACCATGGGAGGAAGAGTTTAAACCTTGGGAAGAAGGATTAAACTTTGGGAGGATTAAAACCTTGGGAGGAAGGATACAAACATCGGGAAGAAGGGTTTAAACCTTAAAAGGAAGGGGTTAAACCTTAGGAAGAAGGATTAAACCATGGGAAGAAGGCTTAAACTTTGGGAGGAAGGATTAAAACCTTAAAAGAAAGGATACAAAAATCGGGAGGAAGGGTTTAAACCTTGGAAGGAAGGGTTTAAACCTTGGGAGGAAAGGTTTAAACCACGGTAGGAAGGATGTAAACCTTGGGAGGAAGGATTAAATCCTTAAGAGGAAGGATTAAAACCTTGGGAGGAAGGGTTTAAACCTTGGCAGGAAAGGTTTAACCACGGTAGGAAGGATGTAAACCTTGGGAGGAAGGATTAAATCCTTAAGAGGAAGGATTAAAACCTTGGGAGGAAGGGTTTAAACCTTGGCAGGAAAGGTTTAAACCATGGGAGGAAGGATGTAAACCTTGGGAGAAAGGATCAAAACCATAGGAGAAAGGATTTAAACCTTGGGAGGAAGGGTTTAAATCTTGGGAGGAAGGATGTAAACCTTGGGAGAAAGGATTAAACCCTTAGGAGAAAGGATTTAAACCTTGGGAGGATGGGTTTTAATCTTGGGAGGAAGGGTTTAAATCTTGAGAGGAAGGATGTAAACCTCGGAAAGTGGGAATCTTTTTACCTTGATCTAACCTTTCTCCGCTTGCTTCTCCTTTATAGTTGTACGAGTTGCACAAATCTCACTGAGCATTAATAAATTTTCCATCGATCTGAAAGCCAAAATTATAATAAAATAATTAAGTTGTATCCGCACTAACTTGATATATTAACTAGTTTGTTTTGTTGGACTGTAAAATCACTCTGTTTATCAGAGTTCAATCATTTCCCTTCAACTGCTATGGGGGCACTTGGTTTGTTTACATTCCTCCCAGAGTATGTACAGTACACAATATGCGTATATCTGAGTTGGGCGTTCCTGGTATATTCCTTGACATAAACTACAGAGCGTCCCATATCATATTAGATTATCTTCAATCTTTAACGACAAAATAAATCTTTAATACTCGAAAAACTTATCATTTTCCGCAAGAAAATTCTTATATAAGCCTTATATTATTTTTCAAAATGATAAATTCTAATTAAATTTTCTGATTAGTCCCGAAAATCGTAATTTAGACCCGTTCTCGGTCTAATATGATGTGGGACACCCTGTATGTATTAATAGAAGAGAAATCTTAAAATAGAATTGTTAATGCATGGAAATGTTGCACAATGAACGATTCGTTTTTGGTGCTTCCTTTTGACAAAAGATTATTTGTACAAATGTGTTCTTACAGTACTTTTGCACTTTTTACTAGCCGTCTATGAATAGTTGCATGATACATACACAGATACATACACAGTAAATGATTACATAATGATACAGGGTTACCCACAAAGAATTAGTCTTAATGACGACATGCAACTCTTTAGACGCAATGATTTAAAAGTTGGATTATAAGGGGTTCTGCCCTGAATACACAGACTTACAATACATAATGGTATTCTAAGAGATATGGCGTGCAACATGTGCCATATAATACCTTCTCAAATTGTTAAGGATTACTAATCTTTAGATAAGTTGTTTAACCTATTTTTACAATTGCATCCTTATTCTGTTAACTCACGAATCATGAGCTAGAACCCACAAATCTGATGCAATAAAAATGGCAAAGATCAAACACTAGTTTAATCAGAATTTAGGGGTTAACATATTTAAGGTTTTTAAGACATCAGGTTGCAAAGATATATCAATCTATCCTTCATTTGACAACCACTTGATTAATAATTTGGATGGTTTAGGCGAAGAAGAAGATTATCAAGACAAAACAAGAAATCCAATCAATGGACGAGAGAGAAATGTATCTCAAGGGAGCAGTAGAGAACGCACAGAGATCTACGTCCATCCTTTCGGAGATGGAGTTCCAGACCCGGAGTAGTTTAGATATGGAGAGGTTGAATATCAGGAGATTCCAGGTTAGAACAAATATCCAGGATTAAATAAAATAGCCAAGATTTTAAAGGGACTGGCGACGTAATTTCAATTGACCCTTAAATGCGTTAAATGTACGATTCAAATCGGTTCTTTTAAAATTTTTGTCTGAGAAAAAATGGTTGAGATATCCTAACTTTGTTATTTACAAGTCGTTTTGAGTTGCGCTGACTCGGTCGGACAAGAAATGAACGTTATAAATATCTTTTGATTACAAAATTGGCGTTGTCTTCCTCATTGTAACTCAAATAATATTTTTAGAGGAAAATCTAATATAATTGGACTGCTTCCTCCTCACAATTTCCCTAAAATATGGTATGAAAATAATCGACACTTTTCTAAACTTTCAAATATCAATCTTATTTCGAATTTTAAACGGAATTTAATTGAAGATTTTTATCAGCAGAACAAATGTATTTATTATAACACATGCTATGTTTGCAAAAGAATCGAAGAAAGCAAAGACGATTTTACAAAGAAAAGACTAAAAAGATTAAAAAAAGTAAAATATATAATCAAACATAAGGGTGTCAAAAATTGGCGCGAATTAAAAAGATGCTAAAAAATGCCCGTTTTGCGTAAAACTTAAACCTTTTCCACAACCCATAAAGTCTATTTTATTTTTTTTAAATAACAAATAAATCTATCATTTTTATTTCTTAAAGATGTTAGTTCATTGTCGAACAATTCTAAGAAATCCACCACTAGTTCATATTAAATATAATGTAAACAAAAATTTGTAACTTTCCTTTTCCTTCTCTTTCCTTTTTCTTTTTATTTCTATTTTTTATATTTTTTATATTTTTTTAGAATGGGGGGGGGGGGAACAAATATTTTTCTCCTTGAACACTTAATTTTTTTTGTTTTTGTCTTATTTCATAAATAAATAATTACTTACTTACTAAGATAATGGTTTAAGTTAAAGGGGATTGTCGTAAATCGGGCAAGCAACACTTTTTAATTTGAGGGTAACCTTGAACTGTGACAACTGTCTCTTTTATGAAAAATCTAAAGTTTATCAAATTCTTTGAAATTCCTACTAACTGCAGGGTGGCCAAAATGTACGGATTGTACGGATTTTTTATTTTGTAACCCTAAAATTGTACGGATTGTACGGATTTTTATCCTGGAAATACACCGGTTTTTTTTATTTTCACTTATTTCAGCAAGTTTTTCATAAAAATTTCAAAAAAAAATCTCGTAAAAATGAAGTTAGTTTAACTTATTTTCTGCATTCTAAATAATATTAGATTGATTAACGTTTCAATTGACAATCAAAATTCATTCATAATTTTCGAGATCCCATAAGTGTTCATTTGAGAATAGGTTCCAGAAGTGTTCATTTGAGAATGTGTTTATCTATCTGTCTATCTGTCTAGCTATCTGTCTAGCTAACCGTCTAGCTATCTGTCTATCTATCTGTCTATCTATCTGTCTATCTATCTGTCTAGCTCTCTGTCTAGCTCTCTGTCTAGCTATATGTCTAGCTATCTATCTAGCTATCTGTCTATTCATCTGTATATCTATCTGCATGTCAGTTTATCTATCTTTTTATTTATCTGTTTCTATATCCTATCTGTCTCTCTGTTTATCTATCTATCTATCTGTCTCTTTATCAGATCTGAGAACATCCTCTCAGGTTTCTTCCGTTTATCTGTAAATCTTTTCATTTTTAGTTTAATATTACCTTTCTTTTAATTGAGTGTGCAACCCCTGTACCACGCTATTTTTAATTATATTCAGGGTGGCCAAAATGTACGGATTGTACGAATTGGTTTTTTTTATCCCTAAAATTGTACGGATTTTACGGATTTGTTCTCAAATTTTACGGATTGTACGGATTTTTATCCTGGAAAATACACCGTTTTTTTAAATTTTCACTCATTTCAGCAAATTTTTCATGAAAAAAAAAAAATGTACGGATTGTACGGATTTTTTTCGAAAATTGCACGGATTGTACGGATTTTTTTCGAAAATTGTACGGATTGTACGGATTTCCTCTGAAAATGTACGGATTTTTGTATGGATTTCCTCTGAAAATGTACGGATTTTTGTACGGATTTTTTCAAAAAAGTTTTGGCCACCCTGTAACTGGAAAACCTATAAATACGTAAACGTTAGTATATATACGTATTTTTAGGTTTGGAATACTTAAAAATACGTAATTTACATATGTATGACATACGTATTTTTGTAACCATTTTCTTGGTAAAAATACATATTTTTTATCCGTAAAAATACGCATATGACAAACGTAAAAATGCGTAGGTAAAAAACCTAAACAATCCAATCAATCAGGAATTTTTAGGTTTTTCCTATACAAAGATTTAGGTTTGAAAATATCCTAACATTTGTTAATTTCTGGAATTTATAGGTTTTACCTATACGTAAAACTACGTATTTTTAAGGTATATCCAAATTCTAAAACCAAAATGTTAGAGGTTAACCCTAATTTTGCATGCAGATTGTTTCTATATATATATCTATACAACTAATTCCAGAAATTGATTAAATCCATTCATAGATTATTTTCAATCCAATCCAATATTCTTCTATACAAATTCACACCATCAGCGTTCCCTCATCTGTATCCATCTAATAGACATATATGCATATATGCAATTAGTCTGTATCTTTAACAGTTACGTATTCAACAGCTGTTACACTTCTTACACTTAACTTTATACCTGTTACAAGAACTTATAATTATCAAAAAATCGATAATTTACTGACATTGATTCTAATGAAAAAATCAATTTACTCCAAAATGATAGAAATTTTCTGGAAAACCTAAGCACTTAAAAAACCCGCTTGTTATGATAATAAAAATACGTATATATTCGCAAGTCTTTACCAAAAAGTTGAGCATACGAATATTTACGTAAACATACCTAAAAATACGTATACCTATATAGAGGCTTTAGCATTTTTAGGTTTTTTGGGTTAGTAGGGATGTAGATATTTCAAAATTTATTTATTAATGTCATAAATTAAGGATTAAAATAAGTAAGCAGATGGAGCGAAACTTTATAATATATAACTTAAGATTGATTATATAAAAATGACCAAGATTTCCAGTCGTATTTTATAACCATGATTTATAAGATTTTACGATCTTTAAAACTCGAACTCCGGTTGATGCGAAATAAACTCGCAACAGTTTCACCAAAGCAACAAATATTTGTTTACTTTTAATCTTCTAATCTGTACAGAGATTCGAACTTATGCGGATTTTTTTCATCTCGATCACTTGATCTCGTTAGCAAATCTGGGCACTTTTAATTTTAAGGATCAATGCTTGATCCCTCAGATCTGTTTAGGATGGAGATCAATGCTTGATTCATAGATTTAAAACATACAAGTTTTGACATCTTGTGGAGGCCAAATCCTTCAGAACATTTATTAATGTTAATATTGTTGTTAAGGAGGATTTAGAGGAGAGATTGAGGCGGAACAGGATGAGGATAGAGAGGATCCTGGAGGAGGAGAACAGTATCCCTCTCCTCAGGAAACTCAAGGACGCTAAGAATATCCTTGTCATGGAAACCAAAAACATGCAGATAAACAGTAGACAGAAACAGGTAATTTTTAATCCTTTAAATAAATATGAATCGACACCTTGAGAGTAATATTCAAACAAGAAATTATTTACTCGCCCCCAACTCCACTTTTCTATTTCCTTTATCTTTACAACCTTTAAAGGTTCATTGACATATTGAAATATAAAAGATATTGAACATTAAGTTGCAAAGATGTTTGGGCTAGACAATTGGAATTTAAGGTTGATGATCAACTTCTTTAACTTAAGATATGATATTTAACAATATACAATCACTTTACTACCCATTTTCTATTATTTTTAATACAGATGAACCCTCCAGAAAGGGTTGTGGGATCTGAGGAGTTAAGGACTGCTGATGATATCCGAGCTCAGCAGTGTACCAAGGATTCAAATCTAATCCAAGATTTGAACGATAGTTGTATGGATAACGGAAAAGAAGATAAAATTGTAACTGAGGATGAAACTGCCCCTAGAGATGAGGTTAGGATGGACGTAGATGAGTCGGAATTGAGGGATTTGGGAGAATTACAGGATCAAAGAGAACTCCAAGCTCAAGGAGAAATCCGGGATTATAGAACATTCCAGGCAAATATTGAACACAAGGTTCACGGAGGAAACCAGGGACAAGGTGGTGTTCAAGATGAAGTAGATGTTCAGGTTCAAGGAGATTCTCAGGTTCAAGGAGATTCTCAGGTTTACGGAGGTGTTACGGTTCATAAAGGATTTAAAAACCAAGAAGCTCATCTGGATCAAGACCCTCTGCAGGTTCAAAAAGATGTTTCGGTTCAAGGCCAACACAAGGGTGAAGGAGATGCACATCAAGAAAACCTCCAGGATTATGGAGAACTACAGGTACAGGGAAGAAGAATTGACAATGTAACATCTGTTATACAAAGAGTAGGAACTGGAGAAAGAAGTCTAAAATCTCATCATGAGGGAGAGGACTGTAGACTTGGATCTAAAAGAGAATGGAAAACCTTATATTCTCCGGAATACTTTGAAGACTCCGGATCTAACTCAAACTCCAGGAAAGGATTGACGGAGTCCGAAAGTTCTCCAACGAAGTTGATTAGAATAGATAGTTGTGGTTCAAACTCTAGTTTAGACACAGAACAACTCATTGTAAGCTCCAAGTCTACTGGAGAGGATGGTTCCAAACCTGGCTCAGATAAGTTAAGAGAAAGCAATAATAGCATAGTACAAACTGCTCCAATGTGCACCATGTCTCAATCCTCCAATTTTAACCAATCCAAGGATGAATCCAATACCAGGTCTGAAACTATTCTAGCCAGATCTGAAGTAGTTGAAAATTCCACCTTGATTGAAACCACTGATCTGTACATGGATTGCAGGTATGAGAATTCACAAACATATTTATTTAAATTTGTCGTATTTATTTTAATCATAATTTTTCAGGGACCTAGATATATCTGGATGTGAACCAGTGGGACATCCTACTCCAAATACCAACAAGAAAAACATTAATTACGGACTGGATCTTATGCGTCGTAGATCAGCGCCAGCTCTGAATTCCGATACAACTCAAAATCTTGTTCCAAGTTCAAAGGGGCGCCAGGAGAATCAGGATCACATTCAAACCGAGCAAACTATTTCATCTGTTACTTCGGAACCAGATTGTCAGAGCAAATTAACCTCCCCTCGATCAGAGAAAGCTGTAGTGAACACTTCTCTAATTGAAAACGAAACCTCGGACGGAGAAGAACCATGTAAACCCGTTGATCATAAAGGTACTGGGAACTATTTGAGCCTGGAGACCTACGGTGGGATTCTTTCTCCCATGAACCAGGATTCGGAGAGGGATGAAAATCTCCGAAGTAGCCTTTACCAGGACCAAGCTGATACAGTGCCGGAACTAAATGAGATAATGAATTCATCTGAGAATATTTCTCATCTCAGCTCAAAGGTGGAAAATACTCATCTTACTGATTTAAAAACTCCCTCAAAGACAGCATCACCTGCTAAACCTCAAGGCTTATTTGAAGATACCAGAATAATTGTCAAAACCCCGGGCAAGATTTTTTCTCCATACAGGCCTGAGTCCTCGCCCCAATACCCACAGAATATCCCATCTGATAAAAGTGATCAAGTAGAGGAAGTAACTTCAAAGATAATCCCTGAGGTTGGTTCTAAAACGATGAAACGTTTATCCCAGACCGAACTGAGTAAGAAAAGTTTCTCTCCTACCCAGTTCATGAGTCAAGAGAATAAGATCTACTCTGAGGGTAAGAATGAAGTTAAGATTCAAGATATAAGATTAAGATCTAATGATGACGAAACTAAGTTTGGTTTTAGAAACTCCTCTTTCAATAGTCAAACTTATGGAGCTGGGGGAAGCACTACGGAACCCCAGTATGGTTCGCCCGTAAACATGAATTTCACTAAAGGAGGAAGATATGTTGAGTTCTTGGCAGACACTGTGGTTGACTCTAATACTTCAAAACAGTATAGATCAGATTTGGACTCTTCCTACTTCTTCGATCACAGACCTATCGGTTTCAATCACCAGTCTCGAGACGTTGACAAAGAGAGTCCAAGGAAAGATTATGGTGTAGGAGCTGTGAAAGATGTTGGAGTTAGATCCTGCGCAAGCTCCGGGACTAATTTTTCTTCTCCTTCCTTTAAATCCATGGAGGCTCCTGTTAACCCAGGGTTTTCCCCTTTTGGAAGGAAGGTTACAGAAAAAACTTCTGGATTTGGATACTGTAATCTAGATTCTTCTAGGATTGGAGAAGACACCAATAGAACTAGATTTGGAGTTGAGAGCACTATGGAGTTAGGAAAGAATTTCAGAAATTCTGCAGGGTTGGAAACCTTTAATTCTACAGGATTCGGAGCTTTGGATTCTGTAGGGTTCGGAGCACAAAGTAAAGTCGGGGTTGGATCTGACAGTGTTTCAGGATTTGGATCGGGGAAACCCGGGATTGCCTGCTTTGGTGACAGGAGTAAAGTCGGATTCGGACCTGATGACATGGAAGAGTTTGGATCTGGGAGCAAGGTTAAATTGGGATCAACGAGTATTGTAGGATTTGGTTCCGGGAGTGTATCTGACTTTGGAAGCAGTTCGAAGCTCTGGGAGGTCAACAACTTTGGCAGATTCTGGTTCGACAAGGATGAAAATGAGAACAAGGCGGAGTTTGCCACGTTCTTCAGTGGAGGCGGTGGAGACCAGGACGAGGATTCCCCCGGCTTCCAATTTATTTTTGGTGGGGATGACAAAGAGGAGAATGATGACGAAGATGATAATGATGGTCGGGCTCCTTTCTTCTAAAAATGTTACTGGAGTTCACATATTTAGGAAGTGAACTATAATTATTCTTTACATCATATTTTTTCGGTTGAGAATTGGAAATTTTTAAGTGCAAACTATATATAGTGTTGATATAGCATGAAAGCTATAGATTTAAACAATTCAATTCCGGGTTAGATGTATAAATATGAAGTTTACGCATACTTGTTAGGAATTACGTCTAGTACATATATATGTAATCACGAAAATCTTATTAAATTATTTCCTGGTTTTCTCAACAAAATTTTGTAATATAATTAAAATCGTCTACTATTGTTAATTCTTGTATATTTTTTAAAAATCTGATTTATAAATCATTTCTCTAATGAAACAAAATTGTAAATCGTGTCTAATTTAATATGTATATTTTCACCAATATTATTTTCAATGAATTTGTATTTATGCACCATATTTTCTTTGTTTGACTAAGTATAGCAAAATCTTATGTTGATATTATTTCAGTAAAACAATGGACAAGGATTATTCTGATCGGTGATATGGATTAGAGGTATATCGTATAATTGTAAAACTTTATGAGTATATGTAACAGCGATCTAATTTCCAAGTATAAAACTAAATTTTTTCTACCATAGTTGTATACATCCGACCTAGGAAAAGTGTATAAAATTCCTATAAAAAGTGTGTTCGGTGTTCATATCCAAATGGCACAAATGTCGTCTTACTTTATTGAATGATAAGGACTGTTTGTCCGCACCTTTGTTCCGAACTAAATGACGGATGTTTGCCGCTATGTATCATTAGTCAGATATCCGACCCATAAAGGAAGTACTCGAGGAAAAGAAAGTTTTGGGTTCATCTATTATCTTTTTGAACTGGAAGATTTTTCCTCTATTTCATCATATTAAACATTTCTCTTGTTTCAGGCTGAATTTAATAAAGTAAAAAATTTACAAGAATACACGGCATCTAGCAGATCAAACTAAGACGCTTAAAACTGATAACAACACTGTAAACATCTACTAAATCATTAGGTACACAAAGCATTTTATTTTTATATATGAAATGATTGTAAATTTATAATTTCTAGAATCTGAGTAGAGAACATCAAGAGTTTTTATCGTGCGAGGTGGTTGTAAGATACAGGAAGGGTGGAGAGATCAAGAAGAGAGGTGGAGTGCTCCGACAGAGTTGTGGAGAACTCCGAGACCTGTTGCTACTGCCATACGGCCACCGGGATGACGGAGTACAAACTCGTCGTTGTCGGAGGTAAGGCGGACGGAGGGGGCTAAGGGTGAAAAATATATTGAATTTCAATTTAACTATAAATGAGGGAGATATTTTTTATTATTGTTCTATATAAACTGCATTATAATTACGTATTTTATATCTACAGATTTTTAAGAAAAAAAAAGAGAATTAGACTTCATATGCACTCTGATACTTTATAAACTACTATATGTTATGAAAATTTTAATATCTCCTGGGAGGGGGGAGGGGGGTTCTAGTAAAACACACCCCCGAAAACGTATCAATCCTATATGTAGCACATACGTTAAATGACGTTAATTAAAATCTTGCAGATTTGTTTTGTTAGTTAATTAACCCGTATAAACTTGAATATATTTAGCTGGAGGTGTGGGGAAATCAGCACTAACCATTCAGCTGATTCAGAACCATTTCGTTCCTGAATACGATCCAACTATAGAGGACAGCTACAGAAAACAAGTTGTTATAGACGGAGAGACATGCTTGCTCGATATCCTGGATACAGCAGGACAAGAGGTATAGTGCAGGAGGTTTAGGACAAAAGGTATAGTGCAGGAGGTTTCGGACTAAAGGTATAGTGCAGGAGGTTTAGGACAAAAGGTATAGTGAAGGAGGGTTATTGCAGGAGGGTTAGGACAAGAGGTATAGTGCAGGAGAGTTAGGACAAGAGGTATAGTGCAGGAGGGTTAGGACAAGAGGTATAGTGCAGGAGGGTTAGGGCGAGGTATGAGGGAGGAAGTTTAGGACAAGAGGTATAGTGCAGGAGGTTTAGGACAAGAGGTATAGTGCAGGAGGGTTAGGACAAGAAGTATAGTGCAGGAGGGTTAGGACAAGAGGTATAGTGCAGGAGGGTTAGGACAAGAGGTATAGTGTAGCTGGGTTAGGACGAGGTATTAGAGAGGAGGGTTAAAACAAAAGGTAAGGTGTAAGAGGTGTAAGACAAGGATACAGAAGGGCAAAAGGCACAGTGTTCCAGGTATAAGAATAGGATACAGTAGTGCAAGAGGTGTATTGTAGGAGGTATTAGACAAGAGGTATAGTGTAAGGGATTTAGTACAATAATACAGTAGGACAAGATGTAATTGTATAGTGGAGGAGTTAAAGGACAAGAGGTATAGTGTAGGGGTCTAAGACAATGATTCAGCAGGACAAAAGGTTTAGTGTAGGAGAGAAGTGACAAGAAGTAAAGTGTTGGAGGTATGGGACAAGGATACAGTAGGACAATAGTCACTGTGTTCGAGGTATAGGAAAAGAATACAGCAGTGCAAGAGGGTTTATTGTTTAAGGTATATGAGAAGATGTAGAATGTAAGGGATTTATGACAATAATCCAGCAGGACAAGATGTGTTTGTATAGTGGAGGAGATAAAGGACAAGAGATAAAGTGTAGGGAATAAAGGACAACGAGTCAGTAGGAAGAGAAGTATTGTGTAGGAGTTATAGGAACAATAAGATTTGGCTTGATTGGTGTTATGCTCAAAAGTGGAAAGAATTGCAAGATTGTTTATTTTCACGATTAAAAGTATATAGTGTGTAGTACCTTGAAGGTACTTGAAGAAAATAGCCTAGTACAGAGGTTCGATTTATGACTGGTGAGAAGTAGTTGAACACGAGAAACCTACTCCCACCAAGTTTAACTAGTTCCCCACATTTACTAATTTCATCCTCGGGTGGTTTTGGACCCTTGAGGTTCAGGGCTGGTGATTTTGAATTATTAACAATTACATTTCATACAAATTGTAGTTACAAGTCAGAGATGAATGGTTTAATCTAATTCAATTTGCTCTAACTTCACAAACAAAATCATTTTACTGAAGTTGGAAAGGAAATTTATGAATTTAGAGAACTAGTTGAACTGCCAACTTAAACCAACCTTTTTAATTTATTTATTTCCCAATTTTTGTTAAAACAAAATGGAAGGGGTTTTATTTGATAAAATAAATTTCTGATTTTCAAGCAGAAGGTAAATCAACTTTTAGGAAGATAAAAATTTAAAGCATTTTTACATTCTTTCAGGAGTACAGTGCAATGCGGGACCAATATATGCGTACAGGAGAAGGATTTCTTATTGTGTTTGCTGTTAACAATGCTACGTCGTTTGAAGAGATAAATGCGTACAGGTATTAGCAATCACAAAAGATCTACAGAAACCCACTTATATTATGTCTTCAAAAATTTTTACTTGGAAACATTTATACGTGTCATAAAATTAATAGATTTAATGCGTATAAACAAAAAGTAGATTAAAAAATATTTAAATTTTTTAAACTGAACATTAACATTGAAGTGATGTAAAAACTTGTTTACTGGTTTCAGATTACTCGATAAGATTACTACAAAATGATTAAGACAATCTACTAAAAGACATGGAATTTTAAAACGTAATTTAATTTAGTATTAACTATAAATTATAAAATGATTAGTGATTAGTGATTAGTGATTAGTGATAAGTGATAAGTGATAAGTGATAAGTGATAAGTGATAAGTGATACGTGATCCGTGATGAATTATGAATTATGAATTATGAAATATAAAATATATTATAAATTAGGACTTGTTCACCTTATTACTTAAAAATAAAGAAACTTTAATTTTGTATTACATAAATATCTGACAACGTTTCATAGAACTTTTAGACCAAGAAAAGAATATTCCCGTGGATCTATCGAGTTCCCCGAAACAAGTTTTAGTCAAATCTGTCAAGAGTGAGTGTACAGAGATGTATCTAATAATACTAAAATATTATCTAAAGGGAGCAGATTAAGAGAGTAAAGGATGCTGAAGAGGTTCCAATGGTTCTAGTTGGGAACAAGTGTGATCTTCCAACCAGGAGCCTTGACATGCAGCAGGCTAGGGATGTTGCAAGGTAAGCAGGGTAGGGATGTTGCAAGGTAAGCAGGCTAGGATGTTGCTAGGTAAGCAGGCTAGGGATGTTGCAAGGTAAGCAGGCTAGGGATGTTGCAAGGTAAGCAGGCTAGAGATGTTGCAAGGTAAGCAGGGTAGGGATGTTGCAAGGTAAGCAGGCTAGGGATGTTGCAAGGTAAGCAGGGTAGGGATGTTGCAAGGTAAGAAGGCTAGGGATATTGCAAGGTAAGCAGGCTAGGGATGTTGCAAGGTAAGCAGGCTATGGGTGTTGCAAGGTAAGCAGACTAGAGATGTTGCAAAATAAAGATATATAGCAGGCTAGAGATGTTGCAAGATAAAGATAAATAGCAGGCTAGAGATGTTGCAAGATAAAGATAAATAGCAGGCTAGAGATGTTGCACTTGCAAGGTAGTACAGCAGGTTAGGGATGTTGCAATATTATTTATTTAGAAACTATGGAGTTCCTCTGGTAGAAACCTCTGCTAAGACGAGGATGGGTGTAGACGATGCATTCTACAGTCTGGTTCGTGAGATCAGGAAGGATGTAAGTGTTTTACTCTTTTTCTTCCATCTTTCCTTTTCTCTGAAATATACAGTGGAATATAACAAAAGGAAAAGGAAGACGGACCTTTAAAGGAAGTGTTCGCGACAAATGAAAGGGGGTACCGGCTTTCGGCGAAAAATAAGCGCTTTTGATCGCTACTAATCTTACTTCTATCTGTTGCGTCTATAAGTAGATAATTGCTAAAAAAACGTCTCATGTTGAAGTATGTAAAGTAATCAATTTAATTCCAAACAAATCATTCAGATCTTACAACCAATAGTCATCGATTAGTTTTCGTCGTATTCGTATATACTTAATATTTTGTAATATTTTGATTGTTTTTGTTTATAAACAATATTTCGCTGGCGCTGGACTTTCGAACATTACCGGAAAATATAAAAATGTCGTCTTCATCATCAAAAATCCTCGAAACAGGAATAAATATTTTCAAAAGTAATTGTCAGATCATAAAAAATATAAAAAATATTATGAAATTTCAATTTTAAACTATTGCGTTGAAAAATTATCGATGACTGTTGTTTGAAATATCTGAATGATTTGTTTGGAATTGAATTTATTTCTTTACGATCCGAGTTGTATAATACAACTTTCTGAATTTGTATGGACGCTACGTTCTTCGGTATAAGTCGTTTTAACAACTTTCTCCTTATAGACTCAACGGATAGAAGTAAGATTAGTAGCAATCAAAAGCGCATATTTTTCGCGCCCATCTTCTAAATTAATTGTGAACATGTTCTCTTTGTGTACATCGTAAAACAAAACAAAATTAATTCGCGGATTTTCACAAAAAAAATTCGTGGATTTTCAAAATTTTCAAAAATTTAATTAAGATCGAATTTTGATGGAGACAAATATTTGAAATTTTGATCATTCATAAACCTTCCCTGGGGTCCGTAGATGTCCCACAAAAAATTTGGGCCCGATCGGTTCAGCCGTTTTGACGTTTATTGTATACAAACAAACAAACAAACAAACAAACAAACAAACAAACAAGCCAAATTTATATATAGATGCTGCCGATCTCAAAATTTTGTGTGTACCACTGTAGAATATTCGGCTTCTAGATAGTCTCCTTTTTTTCCGTTTTTATCAGTCTTGAGGTTTTATATTTATTAAGTGTCTGAACTTAAAACCTCTCTCTGTTTCGCTCTCCGTAAGGAAACCCATTTTTAATGGAAATTTTTTTTTGGAGAAAAAAGAAAACTAGGGATTTAACGGAACATTGCAACCCTGGTTTCAGGAATCCAATTCAGGGATTTAAAATTTGTCCAAATCCCGTTTCACGTGACGCAAAAGGGATGAAATAAATATAGAAGGGAATATTACATTGCCTTGACTTCCCATGGGTAATAAAAAATTCCTCGCTGTGCACGAGATGCTTGCGGTCTTGGGAAGCCTAGACAGTTAAATATTCTATATATTTATTTCCTCTCATATTGCCTCCCTGCAATAAAAAGATCAATAAATAGCGATTTACTTAGTCATTTTACTATTTCATGGATTAAACATTTTGAATTCAACAAATTGACAACAGTTTTTATCGTCGGCTTTTTAAAGTATTAAACAAGTTTTTAAAAGGTTTCTAGAATTGGTAATTTACAGTCAAAAATGTCCTTTAAAAAAATTGAAAAGATTACTTCTAAAATTTTTGTTTGCAAATTATAGAGCCGTATATAATAAAATGATTACTGTGTTTTTGCTTTTTATTATTAAATAATTTTAGAGAGAGAAGGGCAAAAAAGTTACAAGAAAGAAAAAGAAATGTTGCATACAGTAAACCAAAGGTTCTTTATCTCTTATTGCGAAACCTCTAACCGTGTTTGCAGTACTAATTGTATTTGCTTCGGCAGTACATATACTAAAATTCATTTATAAATTAGCTAAACTAACCAGTTACAGGGCTGTACGCTATGCAAAGAATCTGAATTTGCATGTAATAGAAATGTGTTATATCAATATGACGTATTTAAATGATACAAGATAGTAGTTAGTGCGTCAGAACTGGAGAATTATTATTAGTGCCGAACTGAGAATATAACTTGGGATTTAGCTTAGCAACTAATCTCGATATCCAAGGGAGAAACTTTTAAATTAGGTTGTTCTCCCTAAATCAGGCAAAGTTTAGGTTTAACCATCTACGGGAAGATAGTCGGCCTTGTACAGTCACTGATTTAAGACACAAAATTTTACTCTGGGAGTATTGAAACGGAATATATTGCTCCGGACTCAGGAGGGGTTTTATCTGTGCACGTAGCATGTATTAATAATATGTTTATTACCATTATATGTATATTTTCTCTCTCCACCTCCCCCCCTTAAAAAAAAATTTCCCCAGAAACTATGTTCCCCCCCCCCTCCCCCTATGTTTAAAGATAATTTGTTTATCAACGAGAAGGTTATTTGATTATAGCAAAATTCTCATATATTACACATGAGATTCATTTTATAACGATTTTCCAATCCACACTTTCATGAAACCCCAGAAGAATTAAAATTTATATTCAAGTAACTTAAAAAAGCAAATAATTTGTTGATCTTTTTTATAGAAATCTTAATAAAATAAACTATAAAAAACTAACATTTCTAATAATAATAAACATTTAACAGGGAACAAAAATGTAATATAATGAATTTAACAAATCATGGTCATATTTAGCCTAACCTAATTCTTTATTAAATTTTGATGGAATTTATCACAATTAATATTTCCCGTTGTAGGGTGAAGTGACTTTATCGCCCTACAACAGGGCGAAAAAGTAACCTTTTCACCCTGCTATTAAAATATCAAATTTCATTCCTAATTTGTCTCATTGTAGGGTGATTAAGTAACTTTTCGACCTGCTTTTAAATAATTTGAGTAAAACTAAATAAAACTATATAATTTATTTAAATGGGTAAAATGCGTGCGAAAAAGTTTTTGCTGCGACTTTAAATTTGTCTAGTTCGATTCGATCAAAATAGAAGTATTTTCATTTTGATCTTAAACAAACTAGAAAAAATAAAAATCTCGGCAAAAACTTTTTCGCACTTACAAATAACCATTACAATGACATAAATAGATATAATAATTTTTAGGAAAATTTAATTTATATTTTAAATATTTTAGAAAGAGAGATCCGTGAAGAGCAAGAAGCCTCCTCGTCCTGAGTGCTGTTCAAAGTGTATAATTCTCTAATCTTAGTGGATTAAACCTCACCCAAGGAGTACTAAACTTTTAAACCTGACGATAAACCTGCTGAAACGGATTACTAAACCTAATCACCGGAAGTACTAAACCTTTGGCCCTTATCTTATCTTCTCAAATAAGAATTAATCCTTCCAATTTGGACTCATGAACTTGACCTAACTATAATCTAAAATCTACTCTGGCCTTGATAGTACATAGGCTTTCTAACCTAGAGTACTAAACCTACGAAACCAACTTTGCAAGGAACCCAAACCCTCTGTTCTAGGCATGCTAAACTTCATTATAAAAATGCGCTAAATCCCGCAATTTGTTACTATTCAAAGAGACTGTTAACACAATTTCTAGTGACCCTCTTTAAAAAGAGTTTTCATGTCCGATTCACAACGGTACCCATTACTAGTTATTACTCTGGTTACATGGGCAGTGTCGTCAGTTGGAGATGTTGCTCTTTAACTGAAAGGTCATTTGAAATTGCAGAAAGTGGCTAGTTTTACGAGTTTTACGTTGATGAATCGTTTACTTTGTTGTTATTGTTTCAACTACTGGAGAAATATTGCCTTTTTTCAAAATATTGAAAGAAAATAATGGTTCTAACATTAAAATTTGACTGAATCACTATTTTAAAACATATTTAGATACTGTTTATTCTTACCGGGTCGTTAAAATGTATTGTTAGATTAGTTATAAATGATCACGGTTGTTTTTAAGCTGACCATCATTTTCTTTAATTTAAAAACGGTGTTCACTTTGACGGTAGTACAGGAGTTTTAACTGTTAACGTCATTAGAATTTAAAAAAAACCTTTTTAGCGCACACCTGACTCAAGGATAGATTTATTCTTCCTTGAAATTACTATTAATAGTAAAAATTGAACAACGTCAACAATTGTTTTTGTTTAATTAATAATTAACACGCACGTACATTGTACACTATACTGTACAGTGTACATATCCGAGAATAGTTAACGATACTAAAACCAATTTAACTGGTGTACTGGGTTTCAAATCTAAATCATTTCTCTTGTAGCTTATTCTGGTCTGAAATTTAATTTTTTTGCAGAACTATCCTATCCTTTGTTTAACCAATTAAAAATCAAAATATTTATTTTACTTACTCTGGCTTCCAAGTGACACGCTGTTCTCTCTTTCTATATTTTTTTGGATTTACAATTGTAAGATTATTTTGAAAATGTGTGCACAAAAACAACCTCTTAGTTCTTTGTAACCATATTATTCAACATAACGTATGACAAATTTTTCAACTTTATTTTTCTAATTTAACCTTTTTTATACAATTTACAGAATATATTTACGCGAATTCCAATCGTAACTATCTCCCAATAATCTTTTTACTAACAGTTTGTAAACTGAGTTGTCAAATTAAATTATTAAAATCTATTTTCAATGGAAGGGATCAACTTTTTACAAGAAGGGAGTGACGATTATTTCTCGCTTGAAAAAGATTCCTGTTGTGATTTTCTGCTGTTACAGTTTCAGCTGTAAATATGATTTATCTTGGTTATTCTTACACCTTCTTGTAAATTGCTGACATCTTGTAACAAATTCAGGAGTATCTCGAGTATTCTTTTTTAAAGCTCAAATTTCTACTCCATAGATAGTAGAAGACATAGATTATACTGTAGCTAACTTATTTACAGCATTAGTACATGACTTTTTTAGTATTAGATGTTCTGTAGGGAAATTTTGTAGATTCAAATCGGTTGCAAAAATTTTGCCAACAATTTTGCCAAATATTTTACAAATTTTCCCAATTTTTGTCTGTAAAATTGTAATTTCTGATTATGTACTTGATTGCTAATGTTCATATTTACAACAAATTGTCAAATTATGCGGACTTATTTTTCATCCAGCTTATTCACGTACTGGCGTACTCCCTATCTATCAAGTACAGAAGGATGAGACAATTTTGACAAATATAAAGTTCGTTAAACGGGGGCTTGAATTTATTGGACACATGACCTGTGATTTAAAACTATTAAATTGCTTTTTATGAGAAGAAAATAAGCACCCTGTTTCAAAGAACTTAATTTGATTGTATTTGATTATAAAACAGTTCGATGCTAACAATCTAAATTTACACTCATAAATTCCTTTATTTACAAAATGTCAAACGTTGCAAAATTTATATAAAAATATTTACAGAAAATAAATACATTACTAAATGAACTTGCTTTCTTGTTCAGCTATGAAATCAACGATAAAGATGCGCTGGACAGATATCTGAAGATAATTACTGAATTGATCACAGAGGACTTGTACTGAATTCATATTAGAAGACATGTACTGAATTGATCACAGAGGACTTGTACTGAATTCATATCAGAAGACATGTACTGAATAGTTCACAGAGGTCTTGTACTGAATTCGTATCAGAAGACATGTACTGAATTGATCACAGAGGACTTGTACTGAATTCATATCAGAAGACATGTACTGAATTGTTATCAGAAGACATGTACTGAGTTGATCTTAGAAGACGTTTACTGAAATGAAGGCATGTACTAAAGCAGACTTGTACTGGATTGAGCTCTGAAGATGTGTACTGAATTGTTATCAGAAGACATGTACTGAATGTATTTCGGGTACTGGATTGAGCTCTGAAGATGCGTACTGAATTGTTAGTAGAAAAAAGCTCGTTTTGCCAATTCTATTGTACTGTATAATTAGAGCTTGTATGATTTCGAAGATGTAGGGTAGCAGATTTAAATTTAAGCTTAAAAATATTGGGACTCCCCCCCCCCCATCCTAGCATTAATGGCTGTAGATATGTTCCTAGTTCAGGGAGGGTTTAGTGTCAACTCTGAAACCGGTTTTACAACCAGAACGCTCGAATTCACAATTAATTCTACACAAATTTCTCTACAAACATTTCTGTAAATATCGCAATTTGTTCTGTTATATTTTCTGTAAATAACTAATAGTAACGATTTAAACAATATCCTGTGATGTAAGAAAATCTACGCAAAAGATAAAATTGCATTGTTAACGTGAGAGGGAGTTACTATAAGTTTGCAATCTGTGATGGGCGTTTTAAAATCAATTCGCACACAAATTTATCTATTTTTCAGATTATTAAAATATGTAAAAGAGAACCTCAATATTAGATTATAGTGATCTCTCTGATCAAATCAGAATGCAAAAACATTTCAAGCTTTCTCATTCAAGATCATTCTTAGGATCTTGAATCACTAAACCAAGAATGTTCACTTGTTTGTGATTCGTGTAGCTGTTGAGTGATTGATCGAGTATTAGTGATTTGATCAATTGAATTTGATCAGAAGTCAGGATGGGTAAAATTCTTTCTAAGGTGTTTGGAAACAAGGAGATGAGGATACTGATGCTAGGAATGAACATGTTCATCATTTATTGTTTTTTTTAAAGGATCTTAAAGTTTATTCTTCTATTGACAATTACCTATCTGCACCATGACATTTTGGACACTGTTTTGATATTTCTATACTAAGAAAAGCAAGTTAATTAATATACCACATTTTACTTATCAGGGCATTTTGAGTTTTTAAAGTTTTTTTTTACCCTTGCATCACAAAAAGCTCCCGCACTATTACGGAAAGTGAAAATTTAAAATGGGGCCTTTTAAGATAAATAAATTTTATTATAATCATTGAAAATATTTTAACTTTAGTGATTGTATTGTCAAAAACCTTCTTACTTTATCCGTTAAGTTGAAATTAATCGTAAGAATTTGCTGTTTGTAAAATATCATTAATAAATTACTTTGAGTTAATAGCCGCTCGTGGAAAAACTTTTTTCAAAACTTCTATTTCAACATTTTTCTTCCAACATCTGCGAAATTTTGTCAAATAATTTGAAGATATGGTGTTGAAACGACACAAATTCTGACAATAACTTTGTTTTTTTATAAACGATGAACTTGTATCTTCCAGGTCTCGATGCTGCCGGGAAAACCACAATATTATATAAACTCAAGCTAGGACAGTCGGTCAACACAATACCTACTGTAGGCTTCAATGTCGAGACTGTAACATACAAGAATGTGAAATTTAATGTTTGGGTAAGAAATGTAATTTTGTTTTTTCTGTATTTAGCTTAAATTACTTTCTGTTTCAAGGGACTATTCAGTGAAATTTAAAGGTGACCCACCATTTAAAGAGAAAATGTAAAAGGAGAAAAAGAATAAGTTTTCAGAAATCAACAATGAATCGGACCAGCCACTCTATAAATGGAGAGTTTCGTGTATTTACAAAGTACAGTCATTATAAGTGGCTTGTTCGGTTCCCTTTAAACCTTTTTCTGATCAAGAATAATAGAGATATCTTTGTAGTTTTATTTAAAAACTAATTATCTTCAATTGTAGTTTCTCTATTTAAGTGAATTTATGCTTCAATTACAATGAAGAAGAAAAAATATTAGGATTCAGCATTTAATCGACGATACCTACCTAATAGTTACTGAGATAGAGGTTTAAAGGGTTCCGTCATGAATCAGACATGTCGCTCTTGAAAAGGACCACGTCAAATTTCGTCTACAGTTCCTTTAAATTTGATTCTAATGGTTATATTCTCCCCTAAGGATGTTGGCGGGCAAGACAAGATCCGACCTCTTTGGAGACATTATTATACTGGAACTCAGGGACTTATATTCGTTGTAGACTGTGCGGATAGGTAAATAGAAAACAATACCTTGAGTTCCTTATTTCAACCCTGTGCATAGTTTGTCTTACTTTGATTTTTTTACCCTTGCTCTTCCCCTATTTCTTAGATTGTTTAAAGGGACAGACCGGCTATGTAAGGTAGTTGAACTGGGTATTGCAGTGTTGTGGACAAATTCTTTAAGATTCATTTGAGACATATAAAACTTTTTAAAGATCTGTAAATCCTGAGTTTGAGCGCAAAGTCGACGTTCAAAATCGTACTTTTGGGTGGATTCGTTTTCAGTATCGGTTTTTTAAAATGTTTTTGAATTTCAAATTTTGCCTCCCCAATGATAATAAAATGTCGTTATTTAAAAAACATGTTTTTTTCTGCTAGTTTTGTTTGAAGCAAAGATAATTTAATATTTGCAAGGTAATAGGACTGGTTGTGTACCTCTAAAGTATCTTATACCTATGCCTTAATCCAAGAAGCCAAATGTTTTGAATTCTTGCATATTTTCCCTCCTCCTAGATTTATTTCTCCATGCTTTTTGTCAGTTTCTTTTTTTCGTCAGGAATCCTTGTCATAAGTTACTAACTTTCTCTTTTAATTTTATTTCAGGAATTAATGTTATGTTTTGTTATCTTCCAGGACATTTTCTAACACCTCAAATATAATAAACGATTTTCTCTCTACTTTTATTTAGTATATTTTAAATAATCCTGATTTACAATCAGTGAATTGTTTGTATTGTGTTCAGAATTTTATTTCATGATTATCTCTCTCTCTCTCTCTCTCTCTAAGAAAAAATAATTTTTGAAGAGGGGGAGGGATTTTTAAAGAATTTTTAATTATGATTATATTTTTATCTAGGGATCGTATAGATGAAGCTCGACAAGAACTGCACAGAATTATCAATGATCGTGAGATGAGAGATGCCATTATTCTTATATTTGCAAACAAGCAAGATTTACCAGAAGGTTCGATCAAAATAAGTTAAATTAATATTTCATTTTTTGAGTAAAAATTTCTCGTTCTTTTTAATATGCTGACAGACAATTTTGCGAAGATATTTTTTCGTGCTGACAAGAATTTAACAGTGCTTAGGATCCAGATTTGCACTTCCTGGATCCGGATCCGCAAAATATAACAAAATATGCAAAATAAAGAAACTTACTTTTAAACCCCAAATTTGAACCATTGAAATAGAAAGAATATAAAAATTTCCTGATTTAGACAACAAATTTGTAAATTCTACTTTGTTTAAAAAATGCAGTAAATTTTAAAGAAATAACCTGGATCCGGATCCATTTTTTTCAGTGCGAATCCAGGATCCGGATCCGCATCAAAATTAAATGGATCCTATAGGACTGGAATTTCAGAATTTTTATTGATATTTATTTCAGCAATGAAGCCGCATGAAATTCAGGAGAAACTTGGATTAACGCGTATTCGTGATAGAAACTGGTCAGTACACCACATATTTCAACATACGTTTATTTACATTGGAAATCGTTTGTCAACATCAATTATGGGTAAAAATTTAAACAAAGGAGCTGATATCTAAAATCTTCTATAACCCTTACATCTTTTCAACCTGATGTGAACTTGGACCTTTGTTATTTCAAAATATGAATTCTACAAGGTTTAAGTGCCAAAGTTTGAAAGTTTAACTGTATATTCCACCACTCACCAGGTTGCAAAGATTAAAGTTTCGCTAGTTTTGAATTTCTTTTTCAGAAAAAAAATCTTACAATCCTAAATATAAAGTTTTATGGTTTCCTTCTGATTCGATTGTACATTATACTGTTTAATGATGTACAGCCTCTTGTACAAATACTGTTTAGGTATGTACAGCCTGCTTGTGCAACAACTGGTGATGGTTTATACGAAGGATTAACTTGGCTCACAACAAATCATAAATCTTGAGTCCTTGGTGAGTACTGAGTAATTAGGTTTTACAATCAATAAATCAAACTTTTCATGTTTTCCTTTTTTCTTAAATTGTACTTAGTATAAGAAAAACGAGGAAAATCTAAATAACTAGGCTTAATGGGTGCGTTGCGCCACATTTTCGTTCTACAATCTTAGCTTTTTGTCGATATATATGCAGCCTGCATTTTTTAAGGAATGGCAAAGAAAAATTTCGCGGATGTCCTTAATTTCAAAATTTTTTACCCACCTTAGAAAATAATACACGATAAAGATTTTAAAAAAATATTATTTATTTTCCCCCCACTATTTTATAATGAGTAAAAGTTAATAAAAATTAGAAATGAGAATGACAAAAAGTTTAATAGAATTCTTTCAGGTGTCGAGGTTTAGAGAAAGGAAGCATAAAACTTAAGATTCAAAACAAACATTTATTGATTAAAAACTGGAGTCTACTACACCTCCTTCTCCTAGTGAATAGTTATTTTTAGTAAATATACAGGTTGATGAGATAAACAATAAACATGATTCAGGAGAACAAAGAGCTTTAATAGTTTTACATTATTCAATCCTGACAACAGTATTCTCCCAACCTTGATTCATTCATATTTCTCAAACAATTGATTTATTAATTGATTTCGGCAGTGATCGAGTGTTGCATTTCCAGTCTCCAACCTTGTTGTTAAAGTCTAGAGCTGTAGACAAGGATAAGGGTTGTGAACCTCTGTGATTGGTTTGCTGGTTCCTCCGGAGAACCATCCCGCTCTGGTTGTCGATTAATCCTTCCAGCTCCAGCATCATGAACAATAATACAACGGTGATATTAGGTTTACATCCTCTCACATTTATATTTATTTTAATTTTATAGATATTACGTCTTCCAGTGTTACAAAGTATTATTTAGCGCCACCCAGTAGTTTCTTTGTTAATAATACGTTGTACAAAGTTTTTGTATGGTTTCTGTGTTTTGTTAACTCAGTTGCTGTGAACTCAGTTTAATAATTCCGGGGCTCAAGATTTTAAATTTAAATCATGCAACTTTCTTTGGAGAGAAACATTTTAGGACTTATTTAAATATTTAATTTTACCAAGATGAATAATAATATCTTATCATGAACATTTTTTTATTAAGGCTCGCAACATTATTTAATTATCCGGTGGCCGAATTCAAAGAATTTGAGCGGCGGTTTAAATTTAAGCCGCGGTTTAAATATGGTTGGTTTTACTTAAAATTGTATCAAATGTTTCAAGATTTAAGTCGGCGCTTAATTTAAACCGGGTTTTGGTGGATTTAAACCGCGGCTTAAATTCTTTAAATTTCATCTCTGTTTGGATTCATTCCATAAATGAATATATCTTGGTATCCGCTAGAAATTGAATTATTGTAAAAAAAACTAATTATCTCTCGGAGCTCTGTTTAAAATGTTAGAGGATGAATTGTTTTTATTTGAACATTTTTTATATTATGCAACTTATTCATTATCTCAGCTCACACTACAAAGGTCCCTCTTGACTCTATATCTTCGGTTTTTACTATAATAATTTATTAGAGATAATAAATCCACCAAATAATTGCAATTTTAAGTGAAAAAATCTCTGTTTTGTGTAGCACATTACCCGCTTAGCGCATATAACGCAGTTAAAAAAAAAGCTATTGTTTAACTCGCTTGTAATAACTTGCACTGAGCAGTGAGCAGTATTATAAAAGAAATAGAATTGAATTAACAAATTTTTAAAATATTAACTTTTTTCGAGCTGACCACAGTCTTTTAAAAGGCTAAAAAAAAATCCGTCTCAATATTTAATCTTAATATTTTCGAACTCGTTGCATAATTTACATTCCAGAAATATTAAAGATAGATTTAAGTAATTAATTATTATTAATTAATTATTTAGCTTGTTCGAAAATTCACAAAGATCACTCCCCGGTTTTTTAAGCAGAGGTTTATTTTTCTAAAACTAACTCGGTTAATTTTAAAGGAAATTAGAAGTGATAAAGGGAAAAGAAAGAAAATATTTGCGAATTATTTGTAGGGAAAAAGGATATAACTTAACGCCATCTTGCAAGTTGCAACCTCTTATTTTTTTCATTTTCAAGTTTAAGAATTGTTTTGTTTTCTATTAGCAACTTATTCCACCGGATGTATTTGAGGGATCTCTGTAATTGCCATAATTATGTAATAATCTAATCTGTAAATCGTTCCATAAAATAAAGTTGCAATAAAAACTGTGACCATTGTGCATGTTTTTTATATTAAACACATATTTAATGCCTTAACATTTTTTTTAGATTTGAATTTACAGTTTACATCGGTAAATGGAAATTTGTACTATTTGTTTCTAGGTCTGGTTCAGGGCTTGGTATAATTTTATCCTTTATTTAGAAAGAAGAAATTATTATATTATTATGACAAGCTTCAAGATTTTTAACTCAATATCACTGATTAATTACCTCATTCTCTAATTTTCTGATCTTGATATTTTTGCAACCTGATGTAATTTGATAATTCAAACTATGAATTCTACAAGATCAGTCTACGTTTTGAAAAATCTTTTTACCCCATCACGTCACATCGTTATTTGGAATAAGAAAATTAGAGTTTGCGGGAAGTGACGCGCGATTTGGATGAAAATGTATCGAAGGGAATGTACACGTTATTTTAAGTAACCATCCATGGAAAGATGTCCATTCCCGATCCACGCCTGTACCCTTAAAAGCTCTGTCTGTTAATGTATGAATAAATATCAATATTTATAATTTGAAAACTGATTATTTTCTATTGTGGTTTCTTCTACTGCAGGAAAGCATAAATAAATTCTCAGAATTATACAATTTCCCACATTATCTTTATCGGGCATTGGAATCACTTGAAAGCACACTTCCTTTATGTATGATGATTGGATTAATTAAGTCATTCTCAGAACAAATATTAGATATCTGTTTCTGCAATGTTATTTTTCTATTTTGCTTCATTTTTCTCAAAATAGCGTATACCACAACACGATAACTTTAACTAAAGTTTTCCGAAGAAAAGTTGGACTAGTAGAAATCTTGGGAAAACCCTGAAATTTTTCAGATGATAAAAGATGGAAGTTCCGAATGGATGGATGAGAAGATCAGTTCTGATCTACAGACGGATTACAACCAGAAGATTTTAGCAGTTGATACTAAACTGACTAGGTACCCGGAGTTTGATTTAAACCATGTCTTGGTTATGTTTAGCTCTATGAGTTATTCAGTATTAAAGAGTCCAATTTTGGTAATTCTTTCGATTCTGTGGTCCTAGAATGTCTTATAAATCAGCTTTTGTTTTGGCTACAGCTAGCTTAATAGGATTGTTTTGCCAATGCAATTGGGACTCTTGGGATAGTGTTATTCCCGGCCTTGTTATTTATAAATCCCACACCTTGGGGAAGATGGGACATTATGAATTGTATCTTAGCTGGCAAGTTTACTCAACCTTCCTTTAAATCGTAAATTTCGTAAATTCTACTTTAAAAAAACCCTGAAATGTGTTGGACTTTGCTCAAATCTGCCTTATAGAGGGGTACAAAAAGTTTTTTGAAAATGGGGGGGGGGAATTTCTGTAGAAAATGTATGCCCCTGTACCTTGAGTGACTTGAGTCAAAGTTCTGATTGTGCATGATAATTCCAATTGATTGAATTGATCAATTAGTAGAATCTAGGTTCAGAATCGATCAAGCTGTAGAAAAGTATCTAGGTTTAGAGTTGATCCAATAGTAGATAAGTATCTAGGTTCAGAATTGATCAATTAGTTGAATATTATCTATGATTAAAATTGATCAATTAGTAGAATATTATCAATGTTTAGAATAGATCAATTTTATAGGTTGTATTCAATGTTTAGAATTAATCAATTAGTATAATAATATCCAGTTTTAGAAGTGATCAAATATTAGAAAATTATCTAGGTTTAGAATTACGGACCCACACTTCAGACAGATCTATATAACAAGAAGAATGCAGCTTCTGGCAGGTTTAAACAGCAAGAAGAAACAGGATAATAGCGAGGATTTCCAACCTGAGAAAAAACAGGAGAAAATCAAGGGTTTCCAAACAGAGAAGGAAACCAAAGACGAATGTTTTGGCGGAGGAAGAACTAGTTCAGACGAGGTGGATGAGCAAGATATGAAGGAGAAGATGAAGGAAAATGATCAAAGTAGGATGGAGAATACTGAAGGAGTTAATCTTGAAGAAGAAGAATTAAGAGGAAATACTACAGGAGAAATCACCCTAACTGAGACGGTAGATCAAACCTGGACGGAAAAAGATGACCTTGAAAATGTTCTCAAGGAAAGGATTTTAAAGCTAAAACATAATCTCGCTAATCTTTAAATCTTTTTTTCTCGAATCCCTCCCAACCCTTGAATTACCTTGGAGGAACACCTTTAAAGTTTAAAAGTCAAAACCCCATTATCCCTTTTGAACCAACCCTTCCATAAGTTCCCATTATGTCAACCCCTGACGCATATGGACACGTGAAGCAATCCTGAACCCCTGGTTTGTTAAAATACTTTTCTAACAAGAACTGTGAATGCTGCACTAGTGTACCTGAACCTGAGTGTACAAGGAGGTCTATAGGATACCTTCAACTCAGGTACTTTCCTTGGTCTTGGTCTTGGTCTTGGTCTTTGTTTAGACCTGATCCTGATCCTGATCCTGATCCTGATCCTGATCCTGATCCTGATCCTGATCCTGATCCTGATCCTGATCCTGATCCTGATCCTGATCCTGATCCTGATTCTGATCCCGATCCTAATCCCGATATGTTTCAATATTTCAGAGCTCTATTGCTGAAAAGGAAGATCAAGGTTCTTGACACCCTGGATATGAAATCAAACCAGAGTTCTACATTTTCTCTCTCTGTTGGAGAGTCAAGGAATCCTAGATATAAACCAAGGAACATTTTTTAATAAACAAATAATCAAGTTAATCAATTTTCTAAACATTATTTCAATGATTTCAGTTTGTCAGATTTCGTGAATAAGAATATTAATTTGTTGATGTAGAAGAGTATCCATGTCTTTAGTTCTTCCAATCAATCATTTGACGGAAGAGTATGATTTCCAGGTAGTGTCCTAATACATCACCATGCAGAACCCCATTTTTTCTTTTTTTTCTGTTTATTTATATTAAGAATTAAATTATAGTCTCAAGTTCAAGAGATATTTCTCAGTGGTGTTTTTTCAAGAACTTTCTCGGGTTTTTTTCGCTCAATTTTAGGGGGGAAATAAATGGTGTTAATTATTTTTTTTTCTTGAGCATCAAAATATATTCCTATCTACAGTGCAGTACAGGGAAGGGGGAATTATTGAAAATATACACCCCTGAAGATATTTCAGCAACTAGAATTAAGTTTTTGTTCCAAGCTTGGAAACCTGAAAATCTAAGTTTATTCCTTTATTTTAAGATAATTTATTTTGAAAAAAAATAATACATATTTTGTGTTCAATGGGGTTCTTCTTCTAGGGTCTGCATCATGTGTCGGATATTCATCGTGCTCCTGTGACCCATCTAATGTTTGCACACAACGAGAACTCTCAACTGATATCTGCATCACTAGATGGCAATATCTCAGTTTACAAACTTGACGAAAACCCACCGTGCGTCTCACATACACTAACTGGACATGCCCAGGTTTTTATTCAAAAATAATTTCCATTTAAAACTAATGTTTATTATTACTTAACTTGAAGGGTGTAACGGATTTTGATATCTCTACGAGTAATCAACTGCTGGTTAGCTCGTGTCAGGACGGATCCTTGTATCTGTGGAACCTGAGCACTGGAGAACTCCTGAGACGGGTTTCTGTCTCCAGGAGCCCGCTTCTAGCCTGCAAGTTCCTTCCTGGAAATAATAATCTTGTTGTCTGCGGATCTAGGGATGAAATATCCAGTCGTATTTTTTCAACTTTATAGATATATATTTTATATGCCCGGTTCTCGTCTCCGGTATAATGCTTCCGCTGAAAATTCTGTGATTCAAAATATGAAATATATCAGTTTTGTAAAATAATTTACGATCCACTGTTTACAAAGTTCAAGTCGCTCATAATCGTAAAAACCCATAGCTACTCTCGATTCTTTTCTTGAATTTACTTGGGCATAAAAGGACACTAAAGCCGAGTTTATCCGAGGTTTAACCCAGGTTTATGCTTTTCAAATCTCATGGGTTGCAGCTGCACGGTGCATAGCACTGCACCCTGATATCAGTTTGGGACTTCCACCACTTCCACATTGGGTTTCCATTTCAGATATTGAGTAACCTTTTTGTTTTGAAGAAACCACTAAAAATTTGAATAAAAAGTTGGCTATATGGTCCGAATAAAAAATCATCATTTTTATACGATATTCCTTTAAGTCAAGAAAATAGCCTAAATTTCTATCTTAGTTTATTTAAAACTGTTTTTTAAAGCATCGGTTTATGTGGTTTTGAAACGGATTGGATAAATTTGGCATTAATAGCGGAGGTGCTGTACAACTGATCAATATATCTACCGGAATATGTCCTGTCTCAGGTTAGTAAGATGAATAAAAGGATTTGAAAAACAATTTTTACATTTTTCATTTTGTATGACAGTTAATAGAACGTTGTTTTTCAAATAGGATTTGAGATGATTACTTTTTGGCTTGATGAAAATTTATTTATGCGTATTTTCCAGGTTCAAGTTTTATTCCTGGGTCTGCTCTGAGTCTGGCAGCGGATTCCCAGGAGAGTTTAGTCTGGGCAGGATCAGATAGAGGAACTATCATAGCTTTCAGGGTCAACCTACAGCAGGTGGGTTAAATACAGCTGGGGGGGGGAAACCTACAGCAGGCGGGGTAACCTACAGCGGCGGGGGGGGGGGGGCAACATTCAGACAAAGAAATCTCTATTTGTTTGTATTTTCTATCTACAACTCAAGAACTCACTCTTTGACCGATTTGAATATAATTTTGTTTGGGGAACTTGTTAGAACCATGGGAATGTTTTATTTTTATTTTTTTTTATTAATGAATTTTAACTTAATAGATTTATTCCGACTGAATTATAAATATTTGTTGTTTGCAGGGTAAACTGTTGAAAGGGCATCGGCACAGAATAATTGATGATGGAATATCAGAACCTGGAGAGTCTGCTGACCGGTCAACCGGTAGAATCACGTGTTTATCTTCTAGACGGTCACAGGTAGAACCACGTGTATATCTTCTAGACGGTCACAGGTAGAACCACGTGTTTATCTTCTAGACGGTCACAGGTAGAATCACGGGTTTATCTTCTAGACGGTCACAGGTATAACCACGTGTTTATCTTCTAGACGGTCTCAGGTAGAACCACGTGTATATCTTCTAGACGGTCATAGGTAGAGCCACGTGTATATTTTCTAGACGGTCACAGGTAGAATCACGTGTTTATCTTCTAGACGGTCACAGGTAGAACCACGTGTTTATCTTCTAGACGGTCATAGGTAGAGCCACCTGTATATCTTCTAGACGGTCTCAGGTAGAACCACGTGTTTATCTTCTAGACGGTCATAGGTAGAGCCACGTGTATATCTTCTAGACGGTCACAGGTAGAATCACGTGTATATTAATATCTTCCATGCAGTCACAGAGAATCATGTGTAATATATATATCTAGAGTACTGGTAGAACTATGCTGCTAGTAAACCAGAGTACGAACCTACTCCTGATCTACCAGGTTCAGGATAACATGGGATCTCTCCAGATTTATAGAAAATACAACACCAACCACTCCAACCTTAATATCAGGTAGAGTTTATCAATATAATATTTTTTTTATTATATTTTGTTAGTAATTGTTAAATTGGAATTTAGTCCTTCATTTATTCATAAAAATTGCCCAAATCCTGTCCAAAAGATCGAAGTCGGGAATATTTCAGAACAAAAATATACAGGAACAAAAAAGTAACAAATTCAAAATTATTTTTCAAACTTTAACAAATTATCAGGGGGTATTCTGAAAAATATAGCCCTACATTGTTTGGAGGACCGATCTAGGATCCGAATGAAAATTGATTGGACTTTTAATACATTTCTGTCCTTATCTCACATTTTTTCCTGGTCTGTATTCTGTCCTCTGATTGCCGGGAGGACGGGAGATTGTGTAGTTTCAGCCTCCGAGGACGGAGCTGTTTATTTCTTCCAGCTCAACAAACAGGATAGAGCTTGCATAAACAAACTACAGGTAACAAGCTCAAACCTTGACCTCCTTGTTTTTAATATTGTCTATCAAATCAGAGGTCGAGGGACTTATGTGTGAAATGGGGCTTATTTACAGCACCTAAACTCGATATCCACAGTAGCAAATTTTGATATACCAAGAAAGACCTTGGTCCTTATTTTTGAGATCTCCCCTTGAGTAAGATAAGATATAGTTTATTGCTAAAAATACACATACAAGTTATATTGTTACAGGCAAAAAATCTGAAACTATTTTTATATTGTTCACTATATTTATGCAATTATAGCATTAGGTGGAGATTAGCTATTTGCGGTTTTGGGTATTATCCCCACCTAATTAATATTAAAACGTTTACAATATGATGAATATTACTCGATTCTGAAAGTTTGCAATAAGTCAGGGATTACTAGTTAAAGGTAAGTCTTTGTCACAAACTATGATTTTCTAATCTCTATATCTTTGTAATCAAATGCCGTAGACATTAGATATTTCAAACTATGAATTCTGTTAGATGAAAAAATCCAAAATATCAGGTGGCAAAAATATAGGTATTAGAAAATCAGCGACTCAATTCTTTTAGAGAGACCGAGGTGAAGCAAGTGCTTTTTTCAAACAAAAAATTTAATTTCAGATTTTTACTTTTTTTCAGGCGCATTCCTGTCCTGTGTTAGCGGTTAGTTTCAACTCTGATGAGAGCTTTCTTGCAACATCTGACCAGAGCGGACTAATCATTGTTTGGAAGCGGTAGACTATTATATATAGTGTTTATTAAGTACCATGTTCGATTCACAACTGTGCCCTGAAAAGCTATGTTCGATCAAGCATCCACCATCTTCTCGTTAAAAACCTGATCATTTTCAATTGTGGTTTCTTTTTAAAGTGATTTGTGGATTTTTATTCTCAAAAAAAAATGAGGAAATTGTCCGAACTACAACACTTCCCAAGCTAGAAACACTACGATATCTTCCACATAATTGATCAGATACGGTTTTGAGGGGTACAGTTGTGAATCCCCCATGCCTCCTTTAAATTGAATTGAAATTACAACTAAATAGCACAATATTTAGCTATAACTTACAGAAAACACTATTTTTAATGTACGGAAAACCCCTCGATTCTCCCATATTTAGACAATACAAAGTTTTTATAATATATTTATTAAAAGATAAAACAACAGTATTTACCTAATCTATACACAGTTTACAGATATGTGATATTTATTGGATAAAAATGTTAAATGAAATAAGGTGATGGCTGATAGTGTAATGAACTGTTATCTCACTAGCTTTTAAAATATGAAAAAAATAAATGATAAATAAAAATAGAAATTAATAATTAAGTTTTCAGAAAATAAAAATGCAAAAAAGAATGACGAGTGCATCCTTTGATTTAACTCCAGGAGCGGGTTCACCATTCTTCGACGACCTTCGACAAGACAAGGAGATCAGGGGAGACAACATATACATAACTAGACTTTAAGGGTGTTTTGCGCCCATCTTTATATATCAAGCTTTATAATTGTTGGCTTGTGGCTCTATCTGAAAGCATCTTCTTTTTGTATACAATTAAAACAAAAACAAAAGAAACTTGCGGATTTAATAATATTTTTTCGTAAATTTTCAAAATATTACTAAGATCTAAAAAATCGTTTCAGTCGTTTGACGATTGTCGGTTACAAACAAACAAACAAAGTATATTTACAGATGAAGTAAAAAAAAACACGGAATGCTCAGATATTTGAGTATTTGAAGTATTTCGAAATACTTCAAATTACAAATGCTGAAAAAGGCAGAAAAAAATGATTTAAAGGGACTGTTAACGTAATTTCAAGCGTGCATTTTACTAAAGAATTGCATGACCTATTCACAACGGGTTCCTTTTCAAGTTTGAATTTAAAATTCTTTTAATCTCCTGCGTCTCTTTTTATTAATCCGAAAATCACTTTTACGAGAAAAAATTTCACTGAAAATTATCATTTTTAGAAAGAAAAACAAGGATATTTCCATATCTTTCCTTTGGCGAAGACTAAAAGGATGCTATTGTGAATCGGGCGTGCCTCTATTTTAAATGGGGGGTAGATCAATAGAAATTACGTAGACAGTTCTTGTAAGGGTTTTATTCTTCAGATTTCAGATTTTTTCATTAATTCAATTTTTACATGTTGTTTAAACTATAAAAAGGCGTTAAAAAACACTTTACTTTTTTCTCTCACAGTCTCAATTATTTTCCAATCATAATGAAATTTATAGTCTCTAAGATGCTGGGACTCCATGGACATTTTCAGGTGTAAACCAAAATTTGATTGAAGCTAATGCTGACAGAATAAAATGCTCGCTGCGGTGGCTGTCTACAGGTTTCTCCTGTCAGCAAGCTGAGCCCTCGTGGACCCGGTAAGAGTTGATTTACACAAGTAAAAGCTTTAGGATAGTTAGGTACATTCCTTTTTGCAATAAGATATGGTTTCATCAGCTTATAGTAATAGTCCCCGGCAGTGTTTCTCCTTGTGGAAGAAGAAGTGAAGGAGCTGGCTCTGCATTTACCTGGAAATGGTAGGTATACTCCAAATTGCTGTTGATGCTGTTAGGTCATACCATCTCAACCCTGAACTTATAACTGGTTACTAACAAAGCTTTTTAGAGTTTTAGGCTTACGCAAGTTACACACCTGGATATCTGCTCCGGTCGGTCCTCCTAGTTCTGTCCAGGCAAGTGTCGTCTGGCTACGTCTAGGATAGGAACAGAGAAGGAGAAGAGGAGTAGATGAACCGCCGGGTCTGGCTCACGCTGCAGGAGCACAAGCGCGCACAGGACTGGGATCAGAGAGAGAGAGAGATGGATCCACGTACAGGAGGGATCCAGGAAACGATACAGTAATAACACAAGAAGGCCCTAGGATCTTCTGAGCATTTATCTGGAAATATAACACCACTATAGATATGACATTGGAAAGGACAAGAGAAATGGACATTCAAGAGATCACAGTGTAAAGACTACAGTGGTGCCATCCAGGAGGGTAAGAGGAGATGAGACAGCAGCAGTGAATAGAACCTAGATAAAGGATCTATGAGGGTGGTGGCGTTATATTAAACATATTTAAATAGATTTTTGTCCATTTTAAGCAAGTTCTTGACCTCCTTTTGCTTTGTTAATGCTGATCAGTTTCATCCTCAAGAGATAAAGAGCATTTATTCAGAGCTGAGTTGACAAAATCCGATAAATTTATAACCATGTAGTCCTGAGATCCTTTTAGTAATTGTGATATTAATTTCATTATGATCGGGTATTAATTAAGCCTATGAGAGAAAAAAGTGTGAAATGTTTGGTTTTTTCTTTAACACCCTTTAGATATGAGAAATTTTCTTTTTTTATTTTGGAGGAAAAAAATCCCAATTTAGATCATTATAGTTCTAATTGTTTTTTTTTCGACTTTTAGCACTGTGAAACCTGAAATATTTTAAGTTCTCAATTTTCACTAATTTTCTCTGGTATCAAGTATCAAGTATCAAGTATCAAGTAGCTGGATTAATGTATAAATTTTCATCTCTGGAACCACGTTTCTTCGTTGAAGTGCCTATTTTTACAAATTTTTGATTTTTTTTGTGCATTTTAGTTAAGATCATCTATCTGATCGCTCTTTTTCGGCAATGCGTACTTCTGAATCCTCAAATAATAATTGTTGTAATAATAGATCTTTTTTCACTAATTGGTACTTCCTATATTAAACAATATCGAAAAAAAACCATCGAGAACTAATCTTCTCTGGTATCAAGTAACTGGATTAATCTTCTGAAACGTTCATTTTTATCTCTAGAGTCTGGGACGGAGTGGGGAACTAGTTTTTTCTTTAACAATTTTAATTTAGGAAGTTAGATTTACAAAAAATGTATATTTTTAATTGTATGCGTATATCACAATACACAAAAATGTGCCCTTGTCAAATAAGAGTTGAAACCAATTTTTTATTAGGAATAAATTTTACCATTAATTAAAAGATATTCATGAATATATTTGTTGTTCTACAGAAATTCCTTTCTCCACGCTATAGCATTGACAATCCTAGCTGTTATACTGACTGGAGCTTACTACGTGTACAGTATTCTTGAACCATTTATAGGTAGGCGGTTCAGTATAATTTGTGGAAGCCGTCTTATTCACGAAAATTAAGAAGATTAATTTATTTATTTATTTATTTATTTATTATTATTATTATTATTATTATTATTATTATTACTATTACTATTATTAATCCTTGTCCTTGTCCTTGTCCTTGTCCTTGTCATTGTCCTTGTCCTTGTCCTTGTCCTTGTCCTTGTCCTTGTCCTATTGTCTAGAAAAAATATTTTGGAAATTAGGGAAATAAATGAATTTTTGTAGGGAAAGTATCAGAAATAGTTTTCTCCTTTTTGCCTTTTGATGTAAAAATTTTCTTTCTTCACCCACGGCTTAACAAGTTATTTATGTAATTTCGAAAATATTTACCCCTGTAAAGTCCAATTTTTTATTTTTCTGGAGTTCTTTTAGCAGCCAAAATTTTGCCATACAGGTAAAACCTAAAAATTTCGCCAAACTTCATGAGAAATTATCACCTGTTTTACTGTAACTTACATCTAGTTATTTTAGTGCCTTTGTTCTGGGCCTTGTTAACGGGTGTTCTGCTTCATCCGCATAAGAAGAGTGCGACAAACAAATTTCGACTTTATCTTACTCGACTACAGCAGAACGACAAGAATGTCGTCTTTTCATTATCACACAATATTCTGAAGCTGCTAGGCAACCTTTTAGTAACTTTATTTAATCGGGGTGACCATTGATTATGAAAAAGAATCTTCTGTTGATTAACTTGTGTTCATATCTACGGAGACTATAATTAAAGTTGTTATAATTAAATTTTTTATGCAGTTTTCAATTATTTGGCCAGATAATTTCTAACATCGTTTTTTCTTTAAGTAAGAAGGTTAATTTTTAGTGACCCTCCATTTATACAGTGGCATTTCCAATTAAAAAGGTATCCTTTAAACCTTTGATTTATTCAAGTTTTTCTATTGTGGTTTCTCCATAAAAGTTACTTCTGAATTTCTGCAGCAGAAACAAGAAAGAAAATAACTTAAATAAAAACTTATTAAAACAAGGATATTTTCCACATTATTAATCAGATATAGGTTGGAAGATTACTGTCGTGAATCGGGCTTTTACTTCTTTAAAGGGAGGATCATTTGAAAATCTGACTATAGTCTCTTAATCCGGTTTTATTTAATTCTTTTCATTTGATTTCTTTAACTGAATGGTCGTTTATTCAGACAAGTCTGCTGAGTGTATAGGAGAATATTTTATACAGAAGTGGAAACTATTATTATGTTTTATAATTGTATCAGCTGGAGTGTATGTAGTGTATATATATACTCCAGACGGGTTCCTAGTTCTTCTCAACACTCTCAGGTAGTACAGGTAGATCTAATATGTATTATATCATATCTGTTCGGTTCCTAGCGTTTAAGAATGGTTATTCTTACACTGTAGGTGTAAAATTTTCATTCTTTAACACACAGACCGTGTAAGAATGGAAATTATTACGTGGTCAGAGCGTGTAAGAATGGAAATTATTACACGCTGCGAGCATTAAAAAATGGAAATTCTTACACTTGTTGGAAGAATATTCATTCTTACATGCTCCTTATATTGATCTTTTCAATAGATCAATATTGATATTAACTTAATTATTTTGTACTGACAACATGCACAGGGCAAACTCACCTTTTTCTTTTATATTAATACATGCAAACTTACCTTTTTATACTAAAAAATAACATGCTCACTTACCTTTTTCTTTAATATTAAAACATGCAAACTTACCTTTTTTACTTTAGTAAAACATGCTCACTTACCTTTTCATGCTCACTTACCTTTTTCGTTTTTTGAAGTATTGACATATCTTAATTCAGGAATTTCCATTAAAATCTTAACCTTAGTACTGACAGAAGAGTGGAACCCCCTGTGATTAATTAACATTTTCTGACCTTTCTAAAAAAAATTAATTACGAACTTTAAACTTTAAGTCTTCCATTGGACATTTTCATCAAACTACAGAGTCTCAAAGCATACTGCCCGACTGCCTACTTTATTCAATTTTATTTTAGTTTTTCTTCATTCCAAACCAAGTTTGGTGAGATTTTGAAAATCTCTGCATATTTGTAATTATAGTACGGTCAGAGCTTTTCAAAAATGGAAAGGTTTGTCATGTCTTCACAATTTCAATTAATTGTTTTTTAACTTTATTATAAAGTTTTAAAAGTACCTCAGCCTGAGTCAGCAGTCACAATATCTCGCATAGCTCGAGATGATAAAGTGAAACCACAATCAAAACCAGAAAAAGTTAGTTTATAAAAACTTATCATTGAAATACTAGTGTCACAAAAACTTTTAGTGGGGTCTTAGCACTCCATAGCAATGAAAGCAAACCAGTAAATCTTGCTTCATGAATAAAAGACAAAGATCTTCATCAGTTTATGTCGAACTGATTACTAGATAACCTGCTTTAATCTCCTCTTTTTGGAAGAATTAGGATCTAATATCCAGGAAATGATTTCTTCTGTAAATGATTTCAAGATTTTGTTCAGTAGATTAAGACAACCCAATACAATACCTTCTCCCCATCTAAAAAAACTCAGAGCACATTCATCATGCTGTATTTAAATGTAGTATCAACTTGAAAAAGAAGCAATTTCATTAGAAATTGGTTAACAAACAAACTAAACAAAGGAAACAATCACACCACATGCATTACTTTCAAATTAAGAACCAATTTTTACTTATAAAATGGTTTTTAACATTTTAACATTAGAAAATAAAAACAGTGATAGGCAGAACAAGAGCATAAAACTTATTTGCAACCTTTCATAATGTTAACTATTCCGCCTTGAAATAGTAGGATTTCACCAGAATTATTTTTTAGTATAATTTCTTGGGTATGTGCCCATGGAACCTCACAAATATGATATAATAATAATCTTATGAGAATAAAAATGTAATAATGGAATTCTTAAACTCGATGAAATAATCTTGATGTATTCTTTAACTCGAGTTTAAGAATTTTCATTATTACATTTTTTTCCTCATAAGATTATCATATTATTGAAAGCGCAAAGAATTATTTCCACTAACATGTCGTCTTCCTTTTAAATCATCAAACAATTAATATTTATTCGAGACATACAGCATAAAAGTAGCAAGACAACTTGAAAGTCGTCTTAGATCTTTGAATTTATGTGTGACATTCAGTCGTCAACCTACATTTTGATATGTATGATTCTTCTAACAATAACAAAAAAATTCTCCTAGTTCTGACATTTCCAAATGTTGTCTGCTTCTTTTGGACTTTCAATACTACCCGAAATATTAATTTCGTTAAGATTTTGATTTTGTTAAAAAATACCAAAATTGTCGAAATCTGAACAAAATTCTTCATTTGTCGGGAATTATTGAAAGCACAAAAAACGGACCAGACCACATTTTGGAAATGCCAGGATTATGGGTATTTTGAGATTTTTAACTATAAGATTTTACTTCTGAATTTAGATTATTTTAAAAATCAAAGACGACCTTCAAGTCCACTTGCCTCTGTTTTGTTATGTGGGACACCCTGTAGATAATTTGTAATATGTTTTCCAATCAAAATACATAAACAAATATCTGAAAGTGTCAAAATCGTTGTGTTTGGTGTCTAGAATGTTGTGTTTGGTGTCTAGAATTGTGTTAAAATGGTGTGAACTTTAGGGGGAGGTGAACGGTCACAAGAAGGAATTTTTCTAAATCTTTTAGTTTGTCTTTGATGCCTTTTCAAACGATAATCTTAATTTGCTATTTTTAAAAAGCAAACAAAAAAACTATGAACCTTGAAAATGTTTCCTGTTTTTTTTTGTGCGAAAATTTTGTCCCCAAATAATTTTTTCGATAAAATTTAAAAAATTCACCAAAACATTTTAAGTGGTGTAAATGATAATACAGAAGTTTATACCAACTTAATTATTTTTTTAAATATTATTTCCATTTTTATTTACTCTAAGCAAAATTAAAGTCGTCATTGCATTGAGAGGTTTATTTCAAATCCTTGAATGATAAATGCATGATTTTAAAACAATTTATTTACATTTATATGTTTAATATAATTTTTGTTTTCAGAGAATTTCTGTTTGTCCAAGTTCCGAGTATATTTGGAAGTGTGCAGAGTGTACATCTAGTAATCAGTTCTTGTTTAACCTTGTCTACAATCAAACTCATACCAGAATATAAAGTAATTTATACATTATTTCAGTTTTATTAATCTTTTTTAGTATCATGTCATTAAGTTATATTTAAAGTGTCTTAACTAATTTTCCGGAATTCAGAAGTTTGGAGTCTAGATTAGCTGATATAGGAATTCAGAAGTTTGGAGTCTAGATTAGCTGATATAGGAATTCAGAAGTTTGGAGTCTAGATTATTTGATTAGGAATTCAGAAGATTGGAGTCTAGATTAGCTGATCTAAGAATAATAATGCTTTTATGGAAACCGGATAAGCTGATCTGGAAACTAGATCTTTTTAATAAAAACCAGATTGCTTAATATTAAAACGAGATAAATTGTTCTAAAAATTAAAAATGCAATGGTGGAAACGAATTGAATGATCTGTGATCTAGAAATCAGAACTTTTGCGTTGCAAATCACGGGATTAAGCATTGATTTCCATTATGCAGACCAGCGGATTAATTCAATTCCTATCCGATATCCCTTGATGGTAATACCAAGCAGGAGTAACCTTAATTCTGTGACAAGCATTTATCTTCAAAAATAAGGGTGCCCACATTGGATAGTGGATATCAAGATCAGGTTCAAGATTAACGACACTTCACACATAAGTTCCGACCCCAGATCGGTTGGCCTAGAAACTAAATTTTAGCTGATTTAAAAAATATAAATGTTTTCTGGAAACATGGATTACGGGATTAGTAAATTGATTGACAGTTAGTGAATGTTTAGGTGTTAATATTATTCTAGAATAATTATCTCTGTCTAGATGTTATGTAGTATTGTATGCTGGATAACCTGGATAATATTATTCTAGAATAATTATCTCTGTCTAGATGTTATGTAGTATTGTATGCTGGATAACCTGGATAATATTATTCTAGAATAATTATCTCTGTCTAGATGTTATGTAGTATTGTATGCTGGATAACCTGGATAATATTATTCTAGAATAATTATCTCTGTCTAGATGTTATGTAATATTGTATGCTGGATAACCTGGATAATATTATTCTAGAATAATTATCTCTGTCTAGATGTTATGTAGTATTGTATGCTGGATAACCTGGATAATATTATTCTAGAATAATTATCTCTGTCTAGATGTATTGTAGTATTGTATGCTGGATAACCTGGATAATATTATTCTAGAATAACTATCTCTGTATTGAAGTTATATAGTATTGTATGCTGGATAACCTGGATAATATTATTCTAGAATAATTATCTCTGTCTAGATGTTATGTAGTATTGTATGCTGGATAACCTGGATAATATTATTAGCTAGAATATTATCTCTGTCTAGATGTTATGTAGTATTGTATGCTGGATAACCTGGATAATATTATTCTAGAATATTATCTCTGTCTAGATGTTATGTAGTATTGTATTCTGGATAACCTGGATAATATTATTAGCTAGAATATTATCTCTGTCTAGATGTTATGTTGTATTGTATGCTGGATAACCTGGATAATATTATTTGCTAGAATATTATCTCTGTCTAGATGTTATGTAGTATTGTATGCTGGATAACCTGGATAATATTATTAGCAAGAATATTTAACTATCTCTGGCCTCCTCTTCTCTACGTTCTGGTTTTCGCACTAGTCATAGGTAGGTAGAACTTAATNTATAAAGTTTCGCCCCTGTATTACACTTTATTATTTTTCTGCTTATATTAATTTATTTTTTATTGATTTTAAATATGAATACAAATGGGATATATTCTCTTACTAACATGACACTCCTTTACCTTCTCGTCCACTCGTCTAGGACACCCCCCTCCCCCTCATGAGGATTTATCATTTTTTGTGATAATCATATTTTCAATAATAATTAAATCTTCATGTAATATTTGATTTGATTTGATTTGATGAGTTCAGGGTACATGACAGATTCCTCTGGTATAGATGAACCAGACAGAGTCTCTGAATCTAGAATACGATCTGTTATCGTCTCTCTCCTGCAGCGTCTCAACCTGGTTCCTTCTACTGGAGATGCTATTGATGAAGGAGTAGATGAATCTGGAGTTTATGGACCGGCAGAGTCTACTCCTATACCTACTAAAGTAAGCAGAGTCTACTCCTATACCTACTAAAGTAAGCAGAGTCTACTCCTATACCTATTAAAGTAAGCAGAGTCTACTCCTATACCTATTAAAGTAAGCAGAGTCTACTCCTATACCTACTAAAGTAAGCAGAGTCTACTCCTATACCTATTAAAGTAAGCAGAGTCTATTCCTATACCTATTAAAGTAAGCAGAGTCTACTCCTATACCTAATAAAGTGAGCAGAGTCTACTCATATACCTATTAAAGTAAGCAGAGCCTACTTCTATACCTACTAAAGTGAGCAGAGTCTACTCGTATACCTATTAAAGTAAGCAGAGTCTACTCATATGTCTATTAAAGTAAGCAGAGTCTACTCCTATACCTATTAAAGTAAGCTGAGTATATTCCTATACGAAGCAGAGCCTACTCATATACCTACTAAAGTAAGCAGAATCTGCTCCAAAAGATTTAAACAAAGGCCCAATAACTAATCTTTGTTAAAATGTTTCTAAGGTCTCTGGTGATATGGGAGATATTTCTAAGTTTGATCCCAAGATCGGAGTAATTCCACATCCTGGAGTATCAGCGTTGAAGAAAGAGCACGGAATCCTACAAAATCGACCAAACCTCTCCGAGATAGGTGAGAGAAAAAAACGTAATTTCTATATGCACTTGGCTTGTCAAATATTTAGTTTGTTTGTCGAAATGGCTAAGCCGATCAGGTCCAAATTTTTTGTGGTAACTCGTGATGTTAGAAAAGTTTTCCCCAAAATCATTTTGATTAAAAAAATTGGTAATCCACAAAATAAAACAGGAAAATCTGCGAACTTTTTTATTGTTATTTTTCAAAATGTAGATCACCAACAAAAAGCTACGATACTTACCAGAAAGTAAGCGTTCTCTTAACCTATTACTTTCCTTGTGGATAGTATGATTTTAATTTTTGCCTTTTCCAGGAAAGGTTTCTACGCCGTTAGGGTCCAATACACCAAAATCTAGATTAGGAAGGTAAAAAGTTTTCTTGAAATCACTTTACCAATCAAAAATTACCAGTCTTTAAAAAAGGGTCAAGATTTGAGGCCGGAAACTACAGACCAATTTCCCTAACATTTCCCATATGAGAATTATTGGAGTCAGTACTTAAGGACCGAATTGTTGACCACATTGACCAAAATAAACTCATACACAGTACACAGCATGGGTTTATGAGAAAAAAATCAAACCTAACAAACCTGCTAGAGTATCTAGAGACAGTCCATACCAATTGTTATAAATCTTGACTTTGTCAAGGAATTTGACAAGGTCTCCAAAAACATCTTGCAAAAGTATTAGAAGTTCATGGTATCAGAGATAAAAGTGGATTTTCTCCTGGTTAAACGATAGATCACAAAGAGTTTGGACCTTTGTGTTTCTTATATATACAAACATACTTGACCTAGTAATTAAAGATGTCCTAACTTTTCTGTCCAAGTTTGCAGATGACTCTAAGACTGGAAGGAAAGTTAATACAGATAGACGCATTAACTCAATGGGCACAGGACTGTAAGATGCAATTCAATGAATCAATATGTAAAGTTTTACACATCGGAAAGAATAATTCAAGATATGGGTACCAAATGAATGGTGCAAATGTGGAGGTTACTGACAAAAGAGAAAAATGTTGGTGGATCTAAAACCATTTGTTACAAACATTTTCTTACTTTTATCGTAAATCTATTTTTCTTGTTATTTTGAAGGGGAAAAAATATTGTTGTTATCATTTAACGAAATGTGACCTAACTTTTCATTAACAGTCTCTTAAAGGCAGTTTTTTTAGATCATTCCGTTATGCCAAAAGAAAGACGTCTCTTGCATCTGAGATTCATCATGACTCTATGAGGTAAAAATATAACATATTCACAATTAAATATATCAATGACTCAGTGCTTTTGTCACTCGATTTTGAATCGCGTTCTATCTTTATTTGAAGGGTGTACGATACTTTTTAATTGATGGTCAGTGTTATTGATTTTTCGATAAGCTGTTTCTTAAGTTTTTAAGATGGGCATTTATAAAAATCTCTAACATGAATCAGTACGGAGTCTTCTCTGAAGGAGCAGTCTTTAAAGGGAGAATATCATGAGATTGGTTATTTGTGGTTTCTTAAATATCAGATCGAAATAAAAAGAACAAATTTATGCTTCGCCAGATGCCTCTTTTTTAATCTTGTTTAAGGTATATCTACTGGGCACTGTGGAGCTGTTTATAATATTGTTTAATGTATATCTACTGGGCACTCTGGAGCTGTTTATAATATTGTTTCATGTATATCTACTGGGCACTCTGGAGCTGTTTATATATTGTTTCATGTATATCTACTGAGCACTCTGGAGCTGTTTTTTTAATGTATATCTACTGGGCACTCTGGAGCTGTTTATAATATTGTTTCATGTATATCTACTGTGCACTCTAAAGCTGTTTATAACATTGTTCAAGGTATATCTACTGGGCACTGTGGAGCTGTTTAGCTGTTCAACTGTGGTTACATCCTGGTCTCCTACATCTACTTCCGGCTCCAATATTTTATTCATTAATGAAAAGGAATTCATTTAAATTTTATATTAAGAATATTCCTAGTTTGATACAATTAAGAATTATAAAGAATACCGGTGTCGTGCATCAGTTCACCTCCCTGTGACAATTCACCTCCCCCTAGTGTTCTAACAATTCCAACTCAATTATTGACATCAAAAGCAATGTTTCGACACTTGCCGATTTTTATTAATATATTTAGATTGGAAAAACTCATAAAAAATTATCTTGTATGTTTCGAATAAATATTGATTGTTTTACAATTTGATTGTAAGACGACATTTATGGGAAAATAACTTTCCTGCGTTTTCTCCTTCAAATAATACATTTTAGAAATAAATGTGCATTTATGTATGTGAACTTATAATTTAAAAATATCGCTTTTTATTTCTAACATTGTGTTGAAATTGTGAAGACTTTAAGGGGAATCGAAGTGTCGCAGAGAGGATGAAATGATGCATCATGACACCGAAGTTAACTTTGAAAAATTAAAAAAAAAAATTTTACTTGTAATTCTTTGTCAAAAAAAGAATGAACAGTTTTTCCAATTTTCGACTTGAAGCTTAAATTGATACTTTAACGTGACTTTTCATTTATAGAGGTAAAGGACGACTGAATGATAATTTGAAATTACTGTTTCTCAATAAAATCTGAAGCAAAAACAAATATACGACGATATCTTCTCATTGAATTATCTTATATTGAGGGTCACTTGAAATAACGTCAACAGTCCCATTAAAAGTATATAATTCATTATTAGAATTTGAATGAATTATGATTATACCGAGTAGGCTGTTCAAGTATACCGGTGCATACGAGTTATGTGTCCGTCAGTATAACCGTGTTTGTACCTGTATCTGGGATTGGGTTGATCAAAACTCCGACACCCTTCTCCCTCTGCCGGTCAGATTCCTAGCACGTCAAATATACAACCTGGAGCGAGGATTCCTACAGGTACTTGTCTTTTATCATTAGAAACTAGGATATCCGATATCCGCAATTTTTTTGCTCTTTGGATCCGGGTCGGTGAAATTCCAATGATCCCTTACTTGTCAAGTTCAAGCATTTAATTTGCCAAGAAAAGAAAGAAAAAGAATTTTGTTCAGTTTAAGGAATAAACTAATTTGTAAGAGCATCCGTGGTTACAAATCCGGATTTGTTTCAAAATAGAACCGTTTCTTAGCGTATTGAAAGAAATTGACGTGTAAAGTGAATTTTTTGTAGAACAGTTTGATGAACATGAAACCACCTCATCTCCGTTTTGTCGGTCCGGAAATATCATATTTTATATTTTTATTTCCTACAAAGCATGAGCTATTTACTTTGTAGTTTGGACCCGTCTAACCTGGGTAGGATGTTTTGATTGATTATCCTGAATATTCTTGACTTGTGAAGTTTCAGGAATGGGCTACGGAAAATAGTGAGAAAATTGTGAAATTCCAGAATTCCAAATGGTTTAAAATATTCTATTTAGTTTTAAAAAATATAAGACTCAAGATTATTGAGAAGTTTTGTGATTACTTTGAATTTCGCACTCAATTCTGTATTGTGACAATACTAGAAATATTAGAAAAAAGGTGACACAGAAAACTGTTAAATTTTGAGTTTAATCCTGCTCTCGGTGAGCAAGACATTTTTAGATGTCAAAAAGGTTTCGTTAACCCCTTACATTCTTGTATCCGCCCCTGAGGCGTACTAATAAGTTAGAGTATTTATCAGGCCACAATATTCTACATGGACGGATTGGTGACAAGTCTACTTATTTTGGGAATATTTCTTGTAATTACTGTTGCCTGCATACTAGGAATTATTCAGGTGAGCATTCAGGGGATTATATCTTGAATTATTAACGAAGATAGTAAACGTAAGGGGGGGGGGGAATTTTTCTCCCCTTCTTAATCCATTTTACCCGAAAACATTCTGCTTGTGTGGGGGGGGGGGCGGTCATTTATTGACAAAAATGTATCCATATCCGGGGTGAAGTAGATTTTTTTCATTTTAATCTCAATTATTTCTTTATCCCATGGACGGAGGACTTATTTACTATTCACTGTATATGAAAATTACTCTCGGCCTAAAAATGCCCTATCTTTAAAATTGTTATTTGTAAATTTTCAGTTCACTAACAAAAATCTCAAGAGCTGACGAGGGTCAATCCAGACCGAAATATATTATCAAAAAGATGTGGAACTAACCTACTAAATTTACTTAATTAACATCAAATTTTAAATATTTTCAGGTGTACGCAGAATCTGCGTATATCCTCCAATCCCTGGCTACTATCGCGAGCTCCTTGGAGATGAAGGACTCGATGCTCCTCTCCTCCTTGAACATCTCTCTACCTGCAAACTCCAGCATGGAAACAGTCATGGACGAGGCGTACACTTACGGCAGGGGGTGGATATCCACCACACTTAGGAATACATTGGAGAACACGGATACAGAGGTTCTCCAGGAACTAGAGAACAAGGTATATATAGATTAGAGAACATGGATAGAGAGGTTCTACAGGAACTAAAGAACAAGGTATATATCGATTAGAGAACATGGATACAGAGGTTCTACAGGAACTAAACAACAAGGTATATATAGATTAGAGAACATGGATAGAGAGGTCCTACAGGAACTAGAGAACAAGGTATATATAGATTAGAGTACACGGATACAGAGGTTCTACAGGAACTAGAGAACAAGGTATATATTGATTAGAGAACATGGATACAGAGGTTCTATAGGAACAAAAAAAACAAGGTATATAGATTAGAAAACATGGATACAGGGTTCTACAGGAACTAGAGAACAAGGATACAGAGGTTCTACAGAGACTAGAGAACAAGACCATTGTTATTTTTCGCTAATGAAAATCTAATTGAAATAAGTGAAAACATATTTTTTTTAGATACTTGAATTATGGGACAGATCATATCAATACTGGATTCTGAAACAGGTAAATTTTATTCAGAAATCCCGTGACATTTTCTCAAGTGTTACCACGCTTATCATACAGGGTTACCCACATAGGATGAGACTGTGAAGACGACCTGATTTTTATTTTTTAAATGACGTTTCCTAGGTTAAGTTGAATATTCTGCCATAAATATTGAATAAAGTCTTTTTATGACTTTTAATAATTGGCAAAGACAGAAACAAATTCAAACTTATAGGAAATCCTAAATATAAGAAAAGGACAGTATGAATTTCGTACAGTCGTCTCTGAAGTTTCATCCTTTTTGGGTTACCCTGTGTATATCATCTATCATTAAAAATTAATAAACTTCTTGCTAAATTATATTTTCTAAAATAAACTGAATAACGATTACAATGAAGACGACTTTTAAAATGTGACAAGCTTTAAACGAATGAGGAAATCCAATTACTAAGGATGATTAAACTATGCTACTACGGTGGTATATAAGCGATTATATCAATATTCAATATAATAAAGACGACTTACGATTTTAATTTTAATAAGTTTTGGCCTTGACTATAATAAAAGAGCAGATTATTAAGACGTTTTTATGGGAAAGGAGTATAGAATTGCAAGAAAACCCCAAATCCCCCCACCCCATATGAAAAATTGGACATAAAAAAGCTCATTTTTTATCCTGTTTAATACTTTTTTACCCAGCAATTGATTTATTTTTACCAATTTAGCGAAGAAAGCCATATAAAAAGTTTTTGAAAGAAAGATTTTCAATAAGGGGTGGAGATGTTTGTAGAAAATATACACCCCTGTGTATTCTGATGATTAGGATGTGGTTGGACCTAAGATGAGTACAGCAGCAATAACAACTAGTTTCGGAGAAGTTATGGATAAACTGTACACTCAAGATCTATTTAATATATCAGCTGTTCAGATATTCATCAGGAAACTATACTTAGCAAACAAGAGTTGACATTGAGAACTGTTAGAAAACGACCTTTATCTATTTTGATTAAATTTGAAGATACATCAGAACTCCCCTTATCTCACTGTGCACTTAGAGCAATTTTAGTTTTGAAGGCTTGGCATTTAAGTTCTTTAATTTTATGTATCTTTGGTTGGCTAATAGAATATAGGACGCCAAATATTAAAAATCCCTGTTGTGTGTGGAGCCATTTTTCAGTTAGCTCCTCACCAAAAATACGCGTTCTTTAGGCGGTTGGGGGAAAAAAAAATTTAAAAAGGAAGTGGAAAAGGGAAAAAAGTGTGGGGAAAATGGAAGGGGAAAAGAGAAAAAGGAAGGAGAAAAGAGAAAAAGGAAAGGAAAAAAAGAAAAAGGTAAGGAAAAGAGAAAAAGGAAAGGAAAAGAGAAAAAGGAAGAGGAAAAGAGAATAAGGAAGGCGAAAAATGAAAAAGGTAAGGAAAAGAGAAAAAGGAAGGGAAAGGAGAAAAAGGAAGGGGAAAAGAGAAAAAGGAAGGGGAAAAGAGAAAAAGGAAGGGGAAAAGAGAAAAAAGGGGAAAAGAGAAAAAGGAAGGGGAAAAAAGAAAAAGGGAAGGAAAAGAGAAAAAGGAAGTGAACAGACTTTACCAGAAGTCTGCAGAAAGGAAGAAAGAGGAAGCAATAGAAAGTAGAAAGAAGGGAGGTTAGCTAGAGAGAACTGAGGGCACATAGCAGCTGGTCAGCAGGTATAGCAACACCATAGGGGTTTGCCTAGTAAATATTTGGTACACAGTTGGAAGGTAGAGGTAGGCTTCAGAGAGTATAGGTAGGTAATAGGTAGTTAGACTAGGAAGTAAAGAGTTAGAGGTCAGTAGGGTAGAGTAAGTCTAAAATAGAAACTCCCTGGGGGAAACCTAACCTAAACCGAAGGAAGCGTGGAAGGGAGGGACGGAGGGTTAACAAATAAAGAGGAAGGTGACCGGGAGAGGTTGACGATCCAAGAGTTAGAAGAGAAGTAAGGTAAAGTCAGGAGAAAGAGCGGTAACATGTGAGAAGCAAGGTAGGAATGGGTTGCGGCAAAACCCAGCAGTATTGTACATTCCTTGTAGTCGTCTTCTTCACGATATTTAACCACCTAACAATAAATAGATAGACTCTTAAATACATAGGGAAAAGAGAAAAAGGAAGGAAAAAGAGAAAAAGGAAGGGAAAAGAGAAAAGGAAGGGAAAAGAGTAAAAGGAAGGGGGATAAGAGAAAAAGGAAGGGGAAAAGAGAAAAGGGAAGGGAAAAGAGAAAAAGGAAGGGGAATAAGAGAAAAAGGAAGGGGAAAAGAGAAAAGGGAAGGGGAAAAGAGAAAAGGGAAGGGAAAAGAGAAAAGGGAAGGGAAAAAGAGAAAAAGGAAGGGGAAAAGAGAAAAAGGAAGAGGAAAAAAGAAAAAGGGAAGAAAAAAGAGAAAAGGGAAGGGAAAAAGAGAAAAAAGAAGGGGATAACAGAAAAAGGAAGGGGAAAAGAGTAAAAGGAAGGGGAAAAGAATACAAGGAAGGGGAAAAGAGTAAAAGGTAAGGAAAAAGAGAAAAATGAAGGGGAAAAGGAAAAAAGGATGGAAAGGAAAAACGTACAAAGGTGAAAATAAGAGAAAATTTGTTCTTTTTCCACCAGTTTTTGGCTCACACAGGAAACAATGCAAAACCTTTTTTTTGGAAAGTAACATTTTTCCCTCTCAATAGCAATATCATGTTTTCCCCTTTAAAAAGCTAGTCTGTTACTGTGCACATTCAGGACTAAGAAACAAATATGAAAAACCAATTTTTGGTGAAAAAAAAATCATATTTTATGCAACGATGTAAAGCTTAATTATATATTCTTTTGGCCTTACAACTGCTTCGGGCACTGAGAGTAGCATTGTATCGTTAACCAAATAGTTGAAAAACTAGTATTTTCTAACTGATTAGTGCTTTAATATTATTATTTTATGTTTGAAACTTAAAGATTGTCAAATTGTTTTCATGGTTAGTTTCTTCCAATTTGATAATCCTACATTACATTGACAAATGTATCATATGATGATTTTAATCATAATTAATATCGGGTTTTCCTACAATCTCCAGAAAACTTTTGAGTCAAACACTTTTTAAAAGTCTAAATTACACAAAAAGCTTTAAGGGCTCCTCATGGATTTCTAATTTTTGGTGTCATATCATCTATTAGTTTACCAAAGAAACATGAATTAACAGAGTCAAAATGCCGAGCCATTAAACCTGAAATTGCTCCATATGCACATTGATGCTTTGTACTAGTTTCTGGGAGGAATGTAAACAAACACAGAATCCATAATATCGTAGGAATTAAGCATCAATCATATCAAGTCCTTTACACTAGGAAAAGAAAACTTGTAAAGGGACAGAAAAACGGATTTCTAAAATCAAAGAAGAGTTGTTATCGTGGATACCAAAACCTTTTGGCACCCACAAAACTGTATAATAGGAAGACAACAGTTAATCTCAAGTTATTATTTGTTATTATTTCAATTAGTCCAAAAAACAAAATAAACACAGCAATTGTGCAGTGTACACAGACTCATTTCACTTTATTTTAGAATCAAAAACAATGCATGTACGATTGTTTAACTGTCGTCTTCCCATTTTGCATTTTAATTGGCCCCATTGTAAGACTAACGTGTTAGAATCTACCAGTGGTTGCATCCTGTTTGCTGGTTCTCATAGCTCTAGGTACAAGTTTAATTCTAGAAACTGATGAGAACCGAACTCAATTTAAACTTTGAAAACTTCAGTGATTGCTGGATTGAGAAGAGTCAATCTTTTGTGTAATTAGTTCTTTTATCAAACTTCATACAATAGTGTAGAGTTTCAAGTACACTTCTTGGTATATTTGTTCAAATATGTACTAGATACTTTATACAATAGTAGAGTTTCAAGTACACCTCTTGGTATATTTGTTCAAATATGTACTGGATACTTTATACAATAGTAGAGTTTCAAGTACACTTCTTGGTATATTTGTTCAAATATGTACTGGATACTTTATACAATAGTAGAGTTTCAAGTACACTTCTTGGTATATTTGTTCAAATATGTACTAGATACTTTATACAAAAGTAGAGTTTCAAGTACACTTCTTGGTTTATTTGACCAAATATGTACTGGATACTTTATACAATAGTAGAGTTTAAGTACAATTATTGGTATGTTTCTACAAATATTTACTGGATACTTTATACAATAGTAGAGTTTCAAGTAGAATATTCTTGGTATATTTCTACAAATATGTACTGGTTACTTTATACAATAGTAGAGTTTCTAGTACAATATTCTAAGTATATTTGTACAAATATTTACTGGATACTTTATACAATAGTAGAGTTTCAAGTACATTATTCTTAGTATATTTGTACAAATATGTACTGGATACTTCATACAATAGTAGAGTTCAAGTACAATATTCTTGGTATATTTGTTCAGATATGTACTGGATACTTTATACACTAGTAGAGTTTCAAGTACAATATTCTTGGTGTATTTTTTCAAATATGTACTGGATACTTCATACAATAGTAGAGTTTCAAGTACAATTTTCTTGGTATATTTGTACTAATATTTACTGGATACTTTATACAATAGTAGAGTTTCAAGTACATTATTCTTACTATATTTGTACAAATAAGTACTGGATACTTCATACAATAGTAGAGTTCAAGTACAATATTCTTGGTATATTTGTTCAGATATGTACTGGATACTTTATACAATAGTAGAGTTTCAAGTACAATATTCTTGGTATATTTGTACAAATATGTACTGGATACTTTATACAATAGTAGTTTCAAGTACAATCCTTGGTATTTTTGTTCAGATATGTACTGGATACTTCATACAATAGTGCAGTTTCAAGTACGATATTCTTAGTATATTTGTACAAATATGTACTGGATACTTTATACAATAGTAGAGTTTCTAGTACAATACTCTTGGTTTATTTCTACAAATATGTACTGGATACTTCATACAATAGTAGAGTTTCAAGTACGATATTCTTAGTACAAATATGTACTGGATACTTCATACAATAGTAGAGTTTCAAGTACGATATTCTTAGTATATTTGTACAAATATGTACTGGATACTTCATACAATAGTAGAGTTTCAAGTACAATTTTCTTGGTATATTTGTACAAATATGTACTGGATACTTTATACAATAGTAGAGTTTAAGTACAATTATTGGTATATTTCTACAAATATGTACTGGATACTTCAGACAATAGTAGAGTTTCTAGTACAATATTCTTAGTATATTTGTACAAATATGTACTGGATACTTTATACAATAGTAGAGTTTCTAGTACAATATTCTTGGTATATTTGTACAAATATGTACTGGATACTTTATACAAAAGTAGAGTTTCTAGTACAATACTCTTGGTTTATTTCTACAAATATGTACTGGATACTTCATACAATAGTAGAGTTTCTAGTACAATATTCTTGGTTTATTTCTACAAATATGTACTGGATACTTCATACAATAGTAGAGTTTCTAGTACAATATTCTTAGTATATTTGTACAAATATGTACTGGATACTTTATACAAAAGCTGAGCCCTCATTGAATATGAAGTCGTTTTCTTTGTGGGAAACCCTGTCAAAGAATTATTCTAATTTTTTAGCGAGCCCTGATTTTGATAAGTATAGTTTCTCAGGAACAATATGGGAACACTGACCTCTATTTGTGAACAAGTCTGGTCCCTTTTCCAGGGGAACCTTGTCTTCTTCATGGATGCTACCATGGGAGTTCTCAAGGTTTAATTTATTATCATACTAAAATGTGAGTTCTCAAGGTTTTTAACTTTGATAATCAATTTTTTAAGTTTTACGATATTTTTGAATATTTATATGATATTAGATGCAAATATGTTGAGATGTCTATATTTCTGTTCTTCATTTTCTTCTTGTTCGTACATCTTTCAATCATATTTCGGATAATTTAGGAAAGAAAATTTTTTTTTAACTACCATGGGAGTTCCCAAGGTTTAGCTTATTATCATGGATACTACTATGAGGGTTCTCAAGGTTTAGTTTATTATCATGGATACTACCATGAGGGTTCTCAAGGTTTAGTTTATTATCATGGATACTACTATGAGGGTTCTCAAGGTTTAGTTTATTATCATGGATACTACTATGAGGGTTCTCAAGGTTTAGTTTATTATCAAGGATACTACCATGGGGGTTCTCAAGGTTTAGTTTATTATCATGGATACTACTATGAGGGTTCTCAACTACCATGGGGGTTCTCAAGGTTTAGTTTATTATCATGGATACTACCATGGGGGTTCTCAAGGTTTAATTTATTATCAAGGATACTACCATGGGGCTTCTTAAGGTTTAGTTTATTATCGTAAAAAGTTTAAGATGTTGGGAGCTTCTACTTGTCGTACGCTTAACCTTATGAAACCTTTCATAAAATGTGAATCTTTTAGAAAACAGTCTCATGGTAAACTGTACACACATTTGGGAATTATTAACATGCGAGTTTTTGTCGGAGAAATTATCTATGTGAAAAGAACTAACACCTCTTTTAACAACTTTTTATCATATAAATCACTAGATTTTAACCCTGGTTATAATTATTCAAGGTTCTAAGCTACCGACGTCATGCATCAAATCCTCTTAAATACTTCCCATCCATCATATGTCATGCTTTAATCTCTCTCCCCCCGGTATATTAGAATTTGTATTTTCTGCAGGTTCTATTCTACTCCGGCTCCGGGTTCATAAACTTTTTGTTTGGGATTGTAATCTACATCACAGCCTTGTTCTACCTACTCTCCAACAGCTCCTCGACCTATAAACCTTTGGAGGTGTTAGGACAGTATGCCGTGTATCAGGGTTCAGGTTAGATATCAGTTAAATAAGTAATTTCTAGGTAATCTTCATTTATTAAGTGGCTTGTTCGATTCACAACGGTACCCTTTAACGTTTTTTTTCTATATTCATGAACCTATCTCTTTGAAAATAAAATATTGATATTGGGGGTAGTAGAACATCCCTGAAAGTCTGATTTGATTTGATTATCTATAAAAATGACTTGCGCATTTCTGTTCCATAAATAATGGAGGGAATTGTCAGAAATAAACACTTTTAATGCAGAAAACGGCGAAATCTTCTAAATCATTAATCAAAAATAGAAATTTGAAGGGCACCCGTGAGTATCTTGGAATGTCCCTCATAAAAAGTACGTCACTTGAAATTACAACTAACACCCTGTATAAATAAACATTTGCGGACTCAAATTCATTCTGGAAATATTTAAACCATAATTTTGCATGCATAATTAATTTGATGAGTGGTTACTGGCTACTAGGAATTAAACTCAAAATAAACTAAATAAACCTTGATGAATATTAAATATTAAAGGGACTGTCAACGTATTTTTAGTGAATCTCCACATGCGCGTTTTTTGAAAATTTTGAAAATTATCGATTATAATATTCCATTACATAATTATGCTGAGACAACGGTCCAAGTGGAATGTTTTGTTTTGTAAAATGTTCACATTAGATTAGATTTAAAAGGTAAAGAGTCTCGTTAATTGCAGGCGCGCGCTCAGCTGGCTTGTCAACAGTTCAATCTACTATAACTGCAGATTCCTGAAATTTTACCTTTTTACCAAAATTTAGCATAACTGACTTTGAGGAGTCTGATCTCAAACAAAACAGAAAAAAGACGAAATTTTGGCAATCCATAACTGTTACTTCTCTTTAAGTGAATTGAAATAAACAACATAAAATTATCGATGGAAAGGGATTGAGTGTTTGCCAGACGAGGGAGGGAGTCCAGAGTTCCTCAAATAGTAATCACCGCCACCAAAATCTGTTTTGCGGCAAGCGCGCTCCTCAATTGGTAATCTCCACCACCTCAATTAGTAATCACCGTAAAATTTTGTTTTCTGTGATTTGAATTTAATGCACTTTTAACACAATTTTCGACATCTATCGGGGTTTTATGGCATCTGTATTGACTTAAACTAAATTTTCAAATTATTTTCAGATTTGTTTGGTCAACAAAAACTGAGAATCAAGGCACAGTTCATTTTAGCCGAATCTTAGATCCAATTCGCCACTTCTATGACTGCATTTCATGATTGGCGTCAAGATACTAAAAGGTCGGGCTGTCTGTTTACTAAAAATTATCTCATCCCATGCAAAGTAATTTCCATCTCCATTTAAAAGATATTTTCAAAAAACCTCTACAGTGTTTAGATTTTTGTATTCGCCTACTCGAGTTCAACATCTACAACAAAACTAATTATATGCATAGAAAGACCATAAAATTTTGAAAAATTAGTCTCATCACTTCCACTACTGAAAATGAAGTATTTAGTCCACTAATAATGGGTTAAAGTTTCCTCTCTATATAAGGAGTTTAAAACAACATTCAGAGGAAAATGCCGCAAACATTCTTAAAGCGAAACTTGAAATTAAAAAACGTAATATATTTCTAGCACTTAGTGTGGCATATTTATTGATTTATTTTCGAAACTAAGGAGCAATAAAGAAAGCTTTAACAATAATGTACACCATAGGGCCATTAAAAGAGGTCAATATGGTCTTATTTCTAAGAAATAAACGATTTAATTTTATGTTTTTTTGGGCTGATTACTATTTGAGGTGGTGAAGATTACCAATTGAGGAGCGCGCTTGCCGCAAAACAGATTTGGGTGGCGGTGATTACTATTTGAGGAACTCTGTACTCCCTCCCTCGCCAAACACTCCGAAGTTCTAATACCTTTATCTTTGCAATCTGATGTCGTAGAACTTAGGTATTTCAAACTATAAATATTGGTATACCAAATAATATGAGTTTAAGATATCAAATGGTTACATCATCAGGTGCAAATATATTTAGATTAGAACATTTGAGTTTGTGGCTAAGTTTGTGAAGAGGATATGATGTTTAAAAAGTTGATTTAAAAAATGCTTCTTCTTGGCGATATACGGCTAATAACATAATTTGATTATTACAGATAAAATTAAGTAAGACAAAATGGCGTCCATGTTTCAGGTGTTGGAACGATACTGCAGACCGCGGTTAATTCTGTACTTTTCATTACATTCAAGATGGCGCTGTTTTATCTACTCTGGACCTATCTCACTCATACAATCTTCCAGGTATGGTTTCTTTTCCCAATATACGAAATAACAGCGCAAAACTTGATTTGTAGCATGAAAGCTTATCTGTGCAAATTCAAAATGTATCTTGTTGCATGCCACAACAATAAATCGAATTGGTAAGACAATAAATTATTTTCTTTTGCCTCTGTTGTTATGGATATCAAAAGAATAATACATTTATGTTGCGCATCATATTGCACTCAAGTTTACTGAATTTTAAGCAATATGTATTTTATCAAAGGTTTTTTAAATTATAATATGTTTTTATTATTATTCAAACCAATATTTTACAAAATTTCGTCAAACTTAAATTTAATAAAAACTTTTTGTGCATGGAAACCCAACTTCCAGGTTATACAATAACCTCTCAAACATGAATTCTATTAACGTTTACGAAATTTCATACATTCCTCAACGGATTTTATTGTTAAAACTTCTGATTTACCATGCTACCCTGAAAACTTTTCTGAGTAACAATTTTTTGTAAACTTTGCCTTCATAGTCTTTGCACCATAATTCCGCTACTCACTCTTACAACGAAATTGAATTTTTTAAATCAAATATCAGAAAGAAAAATAAGAAAGTATCAGTCATCCTTAATCAGACAAATTAAAAAGTTGCAAGTTGAAGTCTCGATTCTTTAAATAAATGGTCTCTTACAACAAATTGTCGGAATGTTTTTAGAGAAAAACAATATTTTCTGATATTTCCAGGCAACTATTGTCGTTCTACCGATGATATTTTCTTCATTTATTGCAGCTGTTCCTTTCACAGGTTAGTTGAGGACAAATTATATACAGGGAAATGCGTGGATGGGGGGGGGGGGGTATTTTACATATTATTGGATAATATAATTTTTAGGACAATATATTGTTGCCGTCCCTGCTTGCTTAGAACTCTGGCTTCTGCAAGATAGACCAGTTCATTCCATCCTTCTTATCATCTTCCAGGTCTTATTCTAGTTCATTCCATCCTTCTTATCATCTTCCAGGTCTTGTTCTAGTTCATTCCATCCTTCTTATCATTTGCCTGGTCTTATTCTAGTTCATTCCATCCTTATCTTCTTTCAGGTCTTATTCTAGTTCATTCTATCGTTCTTCTCATCTTCCAGGTCTTATTCTAGTTCATTCCATCCTTCTTATCATTTTCCAGGTCTTATTCTAGTTCATTCCATCCTTATCTTCTTTCAGGTCGTATTCTAGTTCATTCTATCGTTCTTATCATCTTCCAGGTCTTATTCTAGTTCATTCCATCCTTCTTATCATCTTCCAGGTCTTATTCTAGTTCATTCTATCCTTCTTATCATTTTCAAGGTCTTATTCTAGTTCATTCCATTCTTCTTCTTATCTGTCCTGTGCTTATATATCGTATCCTTATCCATTCACCCTTCCTATCGTTCAGGTGTTAGAAGTTTTTACCCTAGTTGATTTTATCATTTTTTATATATATCCTATTTCTCGAAACACATAACCAATTAATTTGGCTTAATTTATTTTAGTTCTTTATAAATTTTACACAATAAGTTCTTAATTTAAAACCGTGTTATTGTCAATCTTCTTCCTATTCCTTTTTAAGTTAATATGGTGTTTTCATGTAAAGTCTTATTTTTTATTTTTGTTCCCCCTAAATAAAAAAGGCAAGGACCAAACACCCTTAGAAAGATAAAAATTGCATTGTCAGAATGAAATACTATCAAAAGTGCAAGTTATAGGAAACTTTGCTCATTAAGAGAAACTTAATTCTTATACTTGTGACCTCTTTTTCCTGACTGTAAAAAATTCTTAAATTGTTTAATGTACAAATATTCGCAAACTTTCTTAACTTTGGGCCAAATTTCAAATACATCTGATGATATTTTATTGTCATTCACTCCCGAACAACTTTTAAAATTTGCTGGCATCAGTCTTGATAATATTGAAATAACAGAGATGAGCGTCCTAGTAGTTTTACAGGTACAGTTTTAAATTTCTTTATTTGCGAATTTTTCAAGTTTTTTTTGTAGTAAAAGAACAATGGAAAATTTATGGGCAGATACATGGGTGATATTAAAAAATACCCATGCAAAACTGCTTCCCCCTATTGCATTAGCTGAGGAAAATGGGAGGAAAAATCCTGGTCGGCTCAGCATATTCCTGTATTCCCCCTTGCGACCTCTACAAGGTACGAATAGAGTGTTTATCCAATGTGGTCAGAATAATATCAGGAACGAACCAAATTCCCAAATTTAGTGTCATCAACGGTTAATCTGTACAATGCATATTGGACAATTACTACCGGGACAATAAAGTTGCCAGCTGCGCCGGGACAATAAAGTTGTCAGCCGCGCCGGGACAATAAAGTTGTCAGCCGCGCCGGGACAATAAAGTTGTATAATACAAAATAAATAATTCAATGTTTTGTCTTGTTTAGATTGCTCCGAGCTGGTTGGTTGATGCTGCAATATACAGTGAGATGAAGGGAGGTATACATCCCTGGTTTACTGGTCTTGCTGTAGTTGGAGGGGTTTATGTTTTCGGAGCAGTCGGAGCAATATATGGTCCTCTAGCTCTATGTGTTCTATATGTTCTAGTCAATTTATATACTTCATTCATGCAGGTAGAACATGCTTTTATAATTCACGGTTATTATAAAATTATATTTATATACTTCATTCATGCAGGTAGAACATGTTTTTATAATTCAGGGTTATTATAATATTATATTTATATACTTCATTCATGCAGGTAGAACATGTTTTTATAATTCAGGATTATTATAATATTATATTTATATACTTCATTCATGCAGGTAGAACATGCTTTTATAATTCGGGGTTATTATAATATTATATTTATATACTTCATTCATCCAGGTAGAACATGCTTTTATAATTCAGGGTTATTATAATATTATATTTATATACTTCATTCATGCAGGTAGAACATGCTTTTATAATTCGGGGTTATTATAAGATGTAATACATAAGGTTTAGAAAATCAGTGTTTGTGCCAAAGACTCCAAATTAATTTGTCTACGGAAGGAAACGTTTATTTAGTTAACTTTTTGTGTTTTAATTTTGATTTTTGTTCAGAATTATTTTAAAATGTCATCCAATAATTTAGAAGAAGAAAAATAGTTGTAAAAGCATTTTTTTGTTAAACGTAGAATTACTTTTTTGTGGTAATATTTTGACAAGCTGATCATTTTTTGTTTAACGTAGAATTACTTTTTGTGGTAATATTTTGACAAGCTGATCATTTTTTGTTTAACGTAGAATTACTTTTTTGTGGTAATATTTTGACAAGCTGATCATTTTTGTTTAACGTAGAATTACTTTTTGTGGTAATATTTTGACAAGCTCACCATTTTTTGTTAAACGTAGAATTACTTTTTTGTGGTAATATTTTGACAAGCTGATCATTTTTTCGGATCTGGTAAATTTTGAATTAACGGAACTAATTTAAATAGGTTCAAATAATTTGAACACATTCTCTAATCTTGTGTACATGGTTAAACCCTTCTCAGTTAAATCGATTTAAATTTAAAGAATTTGAACCGCGGCTCAAATATGGTTGGTTCCACATAAAATTGTATTCAATTTTTCAAGATTTAAGCCGGCGCTCAATTGAAACCAGTTGTTGGCAGATTTAAGCCGCGGCTCAACTTCATTAAATTCGGACACTGAGTTGTGAATTAGTAAATAGCAAGCATTAGTTAAACTATTTACGCTTAGTTGAAACACTTCTCTCATTAAATCCTGACTGTCCAATGTGTTTAGGTATATAAATACTTTTTGTAAAAAGTAAAGTTTAAAAAAATTTTAATTTAGGAGATAGATGCTGCAACCCCTGTTGGATATAAATCTATGCGTACACCTATGAACAGATCTGATACGATGATGTGAAAATCAATTCCGCTTCTCGGCTAACTGTGATTTTTTTACTTCCTTTACTTCCGGTGTTTTGTGCGTTAATGTCCAGAGTAAAAAAGTTATAAATACGGTTCAATCAATGGTTCAAGTTCAACTTGGTTCAATCACTGGATCAAGTTCAACTTTGTTAAATCGCTGGTTTAATTACTGGTTCAATATAGATATATATAATAATATAAATAACAAAGTTTCAAAATTTCCTTAGAATGACAATAATTATATTTTCACGTGACCAACCATGAAAAAAAAAGCAACGCCCGACGGTACACTTCTAACTCAAAGCTGTGTCAATTAAATATATTTATAATTTTATAAAACTGGTTAATTTCAATTGTGTTTTCTCTACAAAAGTAAAAAACGATAATATCTTCCACAGTTACTTTAATATTTAAGAATAAGGACTCATAAATTAATGAAATATCAAAATACCACTAAAACAGGTGGTCCAATATTCAATCAGTGTTTAAAGAAGTGGTGATCAAGTTGAGCCAGTGTTAAACCAGTAGTTAAACTAATTGTGTTTTGTTCAATTACATCATAAATTCCAATCTTTGGTTTCTTTAAGAGTTGGTCTGAGCAAAGTTAAACATAATCATGTTTTTAATATCTATATGAAATCATAATATTTTAACCTGACAAAAGAAACGCTATTGTTGAAATATTTTATAACAGGCATTCAATCTTCCAAAGATCAATGTAACATGAGCTTTATCACGTATTAAATAATTAGTTTATCCTCTGTTCATCTTTCCATAATTGTAACATGATCTCCAATTCGTAACATTTACAAATTATTCATAACAATGCATAATTCATTATTTACAAACTTTCTCTTTAAAGATATTAGTTAAAATGGCCGCAGAAATATAAAATTATAATTATAATAAAATAATATAGCATATTTATATTATCCACATTGTTATCATTAAAACTTAATTTCGTATCAATAGCCATTTAAATACGAATTAAAAATTATTATATATTTTAAATAGTGTTTAGGATCCATTTAATTTTGATGCGAATCCGGATCCTGGATCCGCACTGGATAAAAATGAATCCGGATCCAGGTCATTTCTATAAGATTTACTGAATCCTTTTAACAAAATATAATTTTCAAATTTTTTGTTTTATTTTTTCGCATATTTTTATCCTAAAACTTGATGAACCATTCAGAAATGAGGAAATTTTTATAATCTTTCTTTTTTTCAAAAGTTCAGATTTTGGGTTTAGGAGTAAAAAAGGTTTTTTTTGCAGTTTTTGGTTGATATTTTACTACTTGTATCCGGATCCGTGGATCCGCATATTTTTGCGGATCCGGATTCAGGAAGCCAAAATCTTGCGGATCCAACGAATCCGGATCCGGATCCGAAGCACTGATTTTAAACCTTCTGATTTCTTTATTCTCTAATCTCGAGGCTAGGCTGCAGATATGCAAATCTTTATGCAGACCCAGACAAAAGAAAATTAATTATTTATATTCAAGGTTTTCCACCATACTTAAGAATGAAAATTTAATATTTTTGAAATTGTAACTGCAATTTATTAGTGAATTTATCGATAATGAATTTAATTTTTAGACTGCTTTATATAAATGTGTTTTTTTTTGTGGCACCCAAAGTGTTAATATTTTTTTTCAAATTTAACTATTCAAGGCGGGGTCGTTAATGAATAAGGTAGCTTATTTATACTGTTTGTTTCTGTAAAAAAAATTGATAAAACAAAACATTGAACATTGTTAATGCCTAAAATGCCAACATGTTATTTTTGTTAACTGTTCGTTTAATTGCTGACCATGACGTTTTGTGACGTCATGGTTTCAGACAAATCTGCCGAACAGAATTAATTTTATTTGAACATATTTCCCCGCACCTTTTTTACTGAACTCTATCCTAGTATGCAACAATATTATATTGAAAATTTTGAAATATATTTCGTATCAATTTGGAAGAAATTAATTGTTTTTTTGGGTGTTTGTTTGTTTGTTTGGGTGTTTGTTTGTTTGTTTGGGTGTTTGTTTGTTTGTTTGTTTGTTTGTTTGTTTGTATACATTTATTTTTTGAATTCTGAGTATAAGCCTGTGTTTTTAACATCTTTTCTTGGGTTATAAAAAGTTCATATTTTGTAGAATCGTTAAACTCTTTTTATGCAACTTTTGAGATTGACTTAAAAATGCAACAAAAGCTATGTTTTTATATTGCTCTACAAAATTTTCATTTTAATATTATTTTTGTTAAGATTTTTTTTATATGAACACGGAATAAAAACAGAAGTCTGGGAAACATTTTCATCGGAGTATACTAAAGGTTTTTGCTTATTGGAGACCCTCTCTCCCATCTTATCGGAGATCCCAGATTTTTTTCTGAAACCTACTAGATTTTCATCGAGTTTGAAAACTACAAAACTTTTCTCACAGAAACTAAGGGATAAGTTTGGATCTGAAATGAAAAAAATCCTATAAAAAATCTTTGACTCCAATGCAACTCTTAGGGTCGCTGATGAGATGGCCTGGGGGGGGGGGCGTTTCCAATAGTACTCTAATGAAGGTGATTGCTTCCCACAGACTCGAAAAATAGTGTATTATTAAAAGCCAAACTGTCCCCTTTTTAAGACAGACACTTTTACTCACAAATTGTACCACACCGTACAGAGTATTCCAATAATCACATCCTAAGTACATGTACCACACCATACAAAGTATTCCAATAATCGCATCCTTAGTACATGCACCACACCGTACTGAGTATTCCAATAATAGCATTCTTAGTACATGCACCACTCCGTACAGAGTATTACAATAATCACATCCTTTGTACATGCACCACACCGTAAAGATTATTCCAATAATCACATCCTTAGTACATGCAACACATCGTACAGAGTATTCCAATAATCACATCCTTAGAACATGCACCACACTGTACAGAGTATTCCAATAATCACATCCTTAGTACATGCACCACACTGTACAGAGTATTCCAATAATAGCATTCTTAGTACATGCAACACACCGTAAATATTATTCCAATAATCACATCCTTGGTACATGCACCAATCCGTACAGAGAATTCCAATAATCACATCCTCAGTACATGCACCACACTGTACAGAGAATTCCAATAATCACATCTTTAGTACATGCACCACACCATACAAAGTATTCCAATAATCGCATCCTTAGTACATCCACCACACCGTACAGAGTATTCCAATAATCACATCCTTAGTACATGCAACACACCAGTCACTTTTGTAGAGAAACCACAGATGAAATAATCATTTTTCAAAATTATAAACATTTACATCCAATAAATACTGCAGGAATCGAACACAGCTCATAAGGGTACCGTTGTGAATCGGGAATCTTTACATGAAGGGACACTTAAATTTACGCTTACAGTCCCTTTAAAAGTTCTTTTAAATTACACGATGAATGGTAGTGGTACACCCTGTAGATAATTCCGTGTAGGAGCTTTTTAAGTTGATTAAAAGTTTTTTTTAGAGATTATTCGTTCCAGAAACCCTGGACTGTATTCAGGTCACAGAACAAGCAGTCAAAGAAGGATCATTGACGCGGACCGCCCTACCTATCTAGGATGTAGCTGTATATTTCGAGTTAATCAATCAATCAAATTATAGAATTCGGGGTTGTTGTATATTTCCACAGTGTGTCAAGTCACCAAGTGGTTCCGGGGAGGGAGCGTGGCTAGAACTTAGCAAAAGTAAATATAGAAATACAAACAAATATGTTCGTTCTTATGGCCCATTGTGCTATTTTACATGAACGTTTTTGCACGCATAAACTTGTCAGACGCCTGGACGCGTCAACCTTGCATCTATATCTACCTGATCTGTGTTCAGGTCTGTAAAGTTGAGTTGAGTTTGATGCACGGTTTGAAGTTTAAAGTTTTATATAAATCCTCAAATTCTAAAATTAAATGTAAAAAGCGGAAAAACAATGGTTGTACAGCAGAGGGTTTGTTAATGTAATGCCTACTATATATGAGAGGTTGAAGTTTTCAATAATATTTGGAGACTATCAGTCTCTCGCTATATATTGGGGTTCTACGAGGGAGGGGGTGCAGAGGCGCCATGATCCCCGCAAAAATGACCTCCGAGCCTCCGGATTTGCAGAATTACCTCCAGGCCCCGCAAAACTGGTCTCCCAGCCTCCGTGACGTCACCAAGCCTTCCGCATTTCTGTCATTCGGAGGTCATTTTTGCGGTGATCATGGCGCCTCTGCACCCCCTCCCTTGTTCTACTTAATGCGCTATTTAAAGTGATCTGATCCAATCAGTATGCGTCTTAAAATCCTCTTCGATGGGTAATGAAGGACACAGAAAAAATATGACAATATGACTGCAGAGTATTATAAATGTGATTTACTGATGTTGTCTTTTAAAAATAGGCTTCATAGGGCGTACAACCAATAGGCTTATTTATATTTTGTTGCTCATGTAACTATCGTGAATTTTTTTTAAAAAGAACAATAAATTTAATCATGGTTAATTTTTAAGAAGAAGTGTTGCTTTTCTGCGAGGTAATAACAAAACTTCTTTTTTTTCTAAAAAAAATGTACAGACGGAATATATTTTATTGTGAAATCAAGCATTTATTGATTTTAAAAATCAATAAAACTAAAAATCTTTATTTGACACCCCTGGCGTTACGGGCTTAGTTCCGTTAACTAAACGGAGGAGTCCGTTAACGAACGGCAAAATCCGTCAATTTTTAAATCGTTGACGAAACGGATTAGCCGTGTCTTAATTAACATGGGATCACATTGAGTTCGTCTTCACTTTTACTTTTCGATGAATGTTTGAGTGATGTACAGTTTTACATGTTTTCAAAACTAAAAAAATAAATAGCCATGAATAGGCGGGAACAGTTTTAAAGAGTTCCATATAATCATTTAATTAAAAACTAAATATCTGCAACATTCCATTATCAGAAAGTGAAGAATACGACATTTGATGAATTATTTCTATGGCTTATTTAGGG